ATCAAGGAGTCCAGTTTGAAAGCAATCTTTTTACAGAAATGTGTATGCCTTTGAATATAAAGAAAAAACGCATCACCCCGTACCACCCCCAATCGGACGGGGTGGTTGAAAGATTCAACATAACACTAGCTACCATGCTATCAGCATATATCAATGAGCACCATATGTAATGACGGAATACAGAGCAGCGGTCCACGAATCAACTAGTGCAACCCAAAACAAAATGATATTAGGTAGAGAAGTCGCTACCAAACTGGATATTGTTTATAACCTTAATCCTTATATTAAAAAATACCACAGAATAGATGAGTTTGGGATTTACACGAAAAATTAGAAGAAGCCCGTGTAGTTGTCAGGGAAATGACAAAGGAAAGTATACAACGACAGAAGTGGTACCATGATAGAAAATTGAACTGGCAGTCATTTACTCCAGATGATAGAGTTTACGTTTACTTTCTGAAACGTAAGACTGGTACATCTTCCAAGCTCTCATTATATTGGCAAGGACCATTTGAAATTATTGAATAATGTTCAAATGTTACTTACATGTATAAGTCGCCCGGGTAGCGCAGTGGTTAGAGTGTCTGCTCTAGAGTCGCGGCGTAAGGAGTATATCCTTACGTCGCGGGTTCGAATCCCACTGTGGGACGTGGAGACCGGTCCTTAGGATGAGAGCTTATAAACCGAGGTCCCGTGTCGCAGTAGGTGCTGGCACGAAAAAGATCCCTCACTGCTCAATGGCCGTAAGTGCCGAGTATAGGACAAAATTTGCAGCTTTCCGCCGGCAAGTGGTGGCGTCTCCATATGAGTGAAAAATTCTCGAGAGGGACGTTAAACAAGATACAAACAAACAAACTTACATGTATAATATAAACTGTGGACAAGGGGAGCAAATCAAGTCATTCATACTGACAGAATAAGGCCAGTGAAAGACCAAATCCTAGCATCAGAACAATTGCATTTACGGACAGATATTGCAGACAATGCAATTTCAGATTCTAACAATTACAAGACAGAAGACACCGAGACTAAAATTAAGAATGACTGCTATCAGACAGGTAGCAAACGACAGAGAAAGCTCTCCGAATATTCATCGGAGTATGTTTCATTTAAACCATTTCTTCTTCTTCCCTTTGTGGGGTGTACTCAAATTGAGTGTCAATACTCCAGTCTTTTTAGATCATGCCAAAAACGAAGATTACTTCAAGATCTTCACTTAAATGCCCCATGTGCCCTTTCCGAACAGAAACGTTATAAGAACTCAAGAACCATAATTTTATTATTGTGGTCTTCAAATGATTTGTGATTTGTGTCCTTTTAAAACTACAAAGCACGTATATCTCAGAAGACATTAAAACAATGCATCAACCATCAAACTTTGCAGAACAACCGTTGACTACTGATCTTGAACTATCAGACAGCAGTGACTGGGATAATGATCCAGACATTTCTAATGGGATAATGATCCAGACATTTCTGTTGAGGATGTCCAACCTAACAAACCCTCCGCAGAACAGGATAACTCTACTAGTTCCCAGAGTCATGAAGATCCTAATGGTGAAAACGCATCTCAGCAATTGGAATCTATTACATCTCTTCAGCAGGGTCGTTTGTTTCGACAACCCACTAATACTATATTGCAAGGAAAGAAACGCACTCGTGACCCTATATTTCCAATTACTGTCTTAGGAAAAGTTGGAAAGTGGGTGGAGAAGTCTCAATCTTCTTTGGACGAGAATAAAGCTGATAAAACTCAATCATCAGGTGAAGGAACGCTCGAAGCTAAAACACCTCAACGAACCAGCACTTGCGATTCCAGTGTTCAGACTGAGTTTCCCAAACACGTTAAAACAACTAAGAAGATTGTAAAATACATCAAAGACAATCCTTATTACTATTATTGTTAACTTATGCAAGGACGCACAGCACATTTTTTTGGAGGGCACGGGTAATGTAATGAAATAGTATAATCAAAGTGGGTTGAAAGGCGCCTGTAATCATCCAATCGATTGCCAATCAACGTTTACGTTACACCCAATCAGAGCTTACCAATTATTTACCAATCGGTAGTAATTAGGCATAGGATAAAGGTATAAATAGACAACCTTCTAGTTTTCGTTCACTTGGCTGTTACTCATTGCTTGAGTAACACTTCTTAAGGCTAGGTTCTTGGGCTGTGTCGGGAAACAACAGAATTGTTAGTTAGTCCACTCAGCTAAGGATCTAGTTCCTCAGTGACTATTAGTGAATTTAGATTGTGTCTTCGTGACCTTGAAATAATAAAGGTGTCTCAGTGACTTTTTTAAGGTGTGTTTTAGGTAGTTGCAGACTGTGTATGAAAACAACAGAATTGTTAGTTAAATCACTCAGCCTGCAGCTACAGAGATAAGGGTGAAGATTTGATCATTGATTTGATTAAAGGTGATTCTCTTGTATATAGTTCATTTTTGTTTATAGTTACCAATCATTATCCAGATAGGACCTAGGAAAAGGATATATAGTGTATTTTAGTCAGTTGTTCTTTAGTGTCATTGATAGTATTGAAGATTGTTTTGATTTTACATTTTAAGCGTGATTCTTAAGTAGGAAACCTAAGCGAACCCAATTATTAATCATTTGTACATAGTAAAAACTTTAAAATAATAATATATTTATTCGAAACATCGCGGATACACAGCTATATACAATATACTATAGGTTGTTTTGAGACTGTGAGACATAGATGAAGTAGCTGTAAAAAATAAACAGCTAAACAGACAGACTCGCGATCAAAATCATTTACCAATGCCAAAGTTAAAGTTTTTTTTTTTCTAATGTAGGTCAAACTCCAAGGTCAAAGTCAAGACTTCAAAAACATTGATGCCTAAAGAATGGTATTGTCACAAAGATAATATACACATGTGAAATACAATAGCCGAAACCAACCATTCAGAAATTTTGGCCAAATTCAATGTTTTTCAAAAAGATGATCCAATGGCGGATCCAGAAGTTCATGTGTGTGGGGGGGGGGGGGGTTGAGGCCCGTAGGGCCGAGGGGGGAGGGCATGGGAGGGGGTGTCCCCCTCCCATAGGTGGGGGTTCGGGGGCCTCCCCCGAGAAATTTTCTTTAAAAATGGCTCGAAATGGTGCATTTTCCAGCATTTTAGATTGAATTAGTTAGTTTTTGGCCACTTTTTTCTAGTTGTTTTTCAAGACCGACATACCCAAATTTTCAAGAAATTGAACAAAAAATTAAAATTTTGGGATTTTTTTTTAAACTTCCATGTTAACTTGAAAAATGAGACTTTTCTAAAGAAAAAATTAAATGTAAAATCTGATAAAATTAGAAATATCCCCATTTGCTATATAATATCCAATTCTTCATTTTAAAATGCACGTCCAACACATTGTCGCATATTAAGCTTTGTCTACCAAAATACAACTGCATGGTGTGCAATTTTCCAACACTTAGAAAATTCGAATTCTGTATAGAAACCCTAATTACTCTTTTGAACTACTTGACTATACGTTCATATAATTTGCAATATAAACAAATAATGATATTTCATATTGAAGAATAAATATAAATTATTTGGGAAATAATTGGAATTATTGCTTATTCATGGGGGGGGGGTAATTATAATTTCTAACATAAATGCACTCTTTAATTCTTTTTTTTAACCCACTTACCTGCCCAATGTTTGAAAAAAAAGTCTTGAAAAACAATCAATAAAAAAGTGGCCAATTCTTGTTTTGACAGGACTTCTAATTTATACGTATCAGTTTTACCACAATTCATTATACAAAGTTGTAACGGTTAGTTGGGTTTTATTCAACATCATTCAACTGTAATTTAAAAAAAAAGCAGATCTTTTGCTTTTAAAATTGCATTGTATCTTCCATCTACAAAAGGAATACTTTCAATGTGCTTTTTGGTACGGGTCACAACGTATAAAACAACTAGTATACGTCCCTGGTGTATTAATTAATTTTTTTTCCTATTAAATAATAATCACAGTTTATTCATGTAGTTCAATAAAGTAACATTCCATTATCGAAGAAAGAAGAAATTTCTCGAAACTATATTACTTAAGCAATACCTCCCCCCCCCCCCAAAAAAAAAAACCCCGTAATATAACTATGTGCAGTTTTGGTTGTTAGTGTATGACGATGTGTCATCACTAGCTGCACGGACTATCATGATCTCTGTACAGTACTGTTGATTACCTGTATATTGTGTGCGCTCAAGCGGAAAGGGGTTACATATGGAGGCTGTATATTTCACATCTTTGTGTAAAACAATGGGCTTGGATAGAGTCGCATTTATGCAATATATTGTTAAAATGACACTAAATGTCTTGTAAAAAATTTTTTTTTTGATCGGTTCCCGAACCCCCCCCCCCCAAACCCCCCTGAATCCGCCACTGAGATCATACTCCATAACTCCAAGCTCCATGTCATGAGGACAAAAAAAAAAGGTACCAAAGTAAAGGTCTTGTCACATATGGATGCGTAAGAGAAATATGAAAGCCCTAGCAGCAATCTTCCAAAAGTTATAGGCAAGGTTAAAGTATTTCCCCCCAAATAGATGGTCTTAAATTATCACAATGAATGCACATGTGATATATGAAAGTCCTAGCACCCACCCTTCAAAAGTTATGTCCAAGGTTAAAATTTGTTTAAAGTAGGTCAAACTCAAATATTAAGGTCGAAAGTAATAGTATTCTGTAATAGCCGTCTGTAAGTGTAGGCAGTGAAGGTTTTCAGTAAAAATATATATATAAATTCAACAAACTCTCGAACAAAATTTTTGTAGCAATTGTTACACGGAAGGAAGCTGAAAACACACTGAAACAGTTATTAGATTGCAAATATATGATATAAGCAACTATGTTTGATAGCAACATTTAAAACCGTTTCTCACAATATCGTAATCATTTTAAAAATGTGCTCGAGAAAGCGACTCATTAATGTTCGAGCTATCTATCACTGACGACGCCTTTTATTTCCGTTAGAGGATTTGGCACGTGTGTACTGTACCGATGAAATCTTGATTGTAAACACGAGAGACAATAATTCGTTAAAATGACAAAGAAAAAGGTAGTTTTGTTTTGTAATCCTTTATACAAAAGTTTCCTGGTATCTTATATCTTTCATGGAAGTCGAACCTTGGAGGAAAAGTTGAAATTTGCACAATTTCACATTGATACTGTTTTCCATGAGCTTTAGAACACAGGCCTCTGAATTTCTATCAATAAGCCGTTACATGATTGATTAGAGTAATAAATATACACCCTCTATATATAAATATACGTGTATTTTTTATAGATAGAGGGGGTATATATATTACTCTAATCAATCATGTAACGGCTTATTGATAGAAATTCAGAGGCCTGTGTTTAGAAGAAAAGGATTGTTAGAAAAATTATATTTAAATTCTATGCTATACTCTAATCAGTAGGCATTTCCTCCATATTTCTTTTAATTGAAGTCTGAATACAGGAGGGGTTGTAAATCGATGAATTCTGCCTGGGGTTGAGCTTTTTTTTTGTATAGGGCAAGTAGTTGGAATAATCTAACTGTGTCTCGGGACAAGCCCTCACCACAGTTAGAATAGGTCCCATATACATGCAATGTAGCAAATCGGAGTGGATCCACTCCAAAATGATTTTGAAGAATACAAAAGGAGTTGCACTGAAAATAGCTACCAAATTAATCTTAACAAACCTTTTTGAGATTGTATATGCCTTTTAACCTAAAAAATAATCCATATAAATACAAAAATTCAACTGATTTTCTCAACGTTTTTTCCTCGCTTAAAATTTAACGCCATGTTGACATTTGGAACTCTCTGGATTGTTTATAGAAAATGCACAGAATTCGAGTTACTGCCCGTGTTTATTTTGCAACATTGCCAATACACGGAACAAATTCTATCGTTAAACCGGGTCCATAGGACAATATCATTTTAACGATAGAATGTTCTATCTATAGGGCAAGTAATACAAAAAGTAGGTAAAAATAGCTACTTTGTGTAGGTTTAAATACCTAGGTAGCTAGAATACAAAAAGTAGGTAAAAATAGCTACTTTGGGTAGGTTTTTCTAAATACCTAGGTAGCTATTAATAGCTACGTAGGTAGAAATTGTCTTTGGGCTGGACCTGATTATTTGATAAACTGAGGCTTTTAGACTTGTAATATCTCAGCGAGATTCATTTTGGTCTGACTCTATGAATCTCAGACTAGTGTCACACAAAGTGATTCAGAAAATCTTGCCCGGACTTCAACTGCTTGTTTCGATCAATAGGGGCCGAAATGAATTAGCTGCCCTCTTCAACTTTTCGCTTTGGACATCCTTTTAGTCCCTATCACTATAAAACTTTCGTTTCTTACCTTTAAAAGGTTTAAATCCAACAAAATATAAAGTTGTTGATTTTTCATAGCAATGCCCTATTTGTTTAAACCTCCGACGCTGCGGAGTTTCAGCAGCAGTCTGCATCAAATACTTTGTACTGTGGTTCATTTCTATAGGAAATAATAATTGTCAAAAACAGGGATCTTAGACTCTTACCAACTTTGAGAAGCAGCTTTTTGTCAAACTAATCATAATTGTGAATCCAATCAAATTGTATATCGTGTTTTAGATTATATTTACCTATGAGTATCATTTTCTAAAAATTGTTGTTTCTTTTATTACAGCATTTCAATGAAAACATAAGTTTAAAATAAAGACATATTATTTATATTACAATTACATGCTTAAAGCATATTGTCCTTTAAAAAAAGTATTAAGAGGTATCATAAAAAGTACTGTATCATTGCAAATATGCTGGTATGGTATCATACTGTTTTATCCTTAAGTATATCCAACCCCATACTCAAGTGAACATCAAGGCCCATGGGCCTCTTGTTAAAGTGATTTTTTATGCCCCGGGATCGAAAGATTCCAGGGGTATATTGTTTTTGTCCAGTCTGTCTGTCTGTTGTCAACTTTAACCTAGCCCATAACTATTGCGCTGTTAAGGGTAAGGCATTAATATTTAACATGAGTGTTCATTACGACAAGACCTTTCCATTGGTACAGAAATTTTTGATCATGTGACCTCAACTGTGATCTTTGACCTACATTTGAAAAACTTTAACTTTGGCCATAACTATTGCACTGTAGTCTATGTCCCACTCCAGAATTGTGTTATCATCTGGGGCATAGTGTTTCACAAACACATCTTGTTTTTAGCTCTTCTGAGCCAAAGGCTCAAAGAGCTAATGCTATGGCCATTTGTGCGGTGTGCGTAAACTTTTTAGAATATGGGCCATAACTCAAGAACCCCTTGGCCAATTATTGTCAAATTTGTCACAGGGTATCCTTGGCCCAAGGGCTCCCTTTTATACTAAAACTGGGGTTGTGACCCTTTAACAAGGGGAGATAATTAGGAAAATAGAAAAAAAAGTACTGGTTGCTAAAAAATCTTCTTCTCAAGAACCACTGGGCAGATTATCACCAAACTTACACAAAAGGATGAGGATATGTTGTAGATTAAAATTTGCACGGGGATTTACCCTGGGGCAAAGGGCGTGGTCTCAAGGTCACTTCAAAGTTGACCAAAAATTACATTTTATTAAAATGTTGATATTTTGCTTACTATAAGGACTAGGATCATCAAATCTTGTCAGTTGGTGCATCTAAGGACCTCATATCATGTTGACTCAAAAGTAGGTCACGGTGACCTACTTTTTAAATTTTGCGGCCATTCTTTTTCAAAATGATTTAGAGGCATATTTTGAACAATTTAAGGCCTATGATCATCAAACTTTGTCAGTTGATGCATCTTGGGTCCTCAAAGTACGTCAACTAAAAAGTAGGTCACCTTGACCTACTTTTTGAATTTTATGGCTAATCTTTTTTAAAACAATTAAGGTCATTAATTCGAATACCGGGAGGCTTAGAATCATTAAATCTTGTAAGATGATGCATCTTGGGGCCATAAAACATATTTATTAAAAAGTAGGTCACAGTGACCTACTTTTTGAACTTTGCAGGCATTCGATTTCAAAGCGTTTGAGAGGCATAATTTGGACATTTTAAGTCCTATGATCATAAAACTTTGTAAGTTGATGCATCTTGGGTCCTCAAAAAAGGTCAACTGAAAAGTAGGTCACCGTGACCTACTTTTCAATTTATATGACTATAATTAAATATTTCAGGTACTAATTGGCTTAGAATCATAAAACTTTGTCAGTTGATGCATCTTGGGTTTTCGGAGTAGGTCAACTAAAAAGTAGGTCACAGTGACCTACTTTTGAAAATTTATGGCGTTAATTAAATATTTCGGGTACTAATTGACTTAGAATCATCAAACTTTGTCAGTTGATGCATCTTGGGTCTTCGGAGTAGGTCGACTAAAAAGTAGGTCACAGTGACCTACTTTTGAAAATTTATGGCGATAATTAAATATTTCGGGTACTAATTGGCTTAGAATCATCAAACTTTGTCAGTTGATGCATCTTGGGTCTTCAGAGTAGATCGACTAAAAAGTAGGTCACCGTGACCTACTTTTGAAAATTTATGGCTTTAATTAAATATTTCGGGTACTAATTGGCTTAGAATCATCAAACTTTGTCAGTTGATGCATCATGGGTCTTCGGAGTAGGTCGACTAAAAAGTAGGTCACCGTGACCTACTTTCAGAAAATTTATGGCTTTAATAAAATATTTTGGGTACTAATTGGCTTAGAATCATAAAACTTTGTCAGTTTAGGCGTCATGGGTCCTCTGAGTACAACAACTGAAAAGTAGGTCACGGTGACCTACTTTTGAAAATTTATGGCTTTAATCAAATATTTCGAGTACTAATTGGCTTAGAATCATTAAACTTTGTCAATTGATGCGTCTTGGGTCCTCGGAGTACAACAGCTGAAAAGTAGGTCACGGTGACCTACTTTTGAAATTTTATGGCTGTATTTAATATTTTCAGGAATTATTTGGCTTAGAATCGTCAAAATTTGTCAGTTGATGCAACTTTGGTCCTCGGAGTAGGTTGACTGAAAAGTAGGTCACTGTGACCTACTTTTGAAAATTTATGGCTGTAATTAAATATTTTGGGTACTTATTGGCTAGAATCATCAAACTTTGTCAGGCGATGTATCTTTGGTCCTCGGAGTACAGCAACTGAAAAGTAGGTCACAGTGACCTACTTTTGAAAATTTATGGCTTTATTTAAATATTACAGGTACTAATTGGCTTAGAATCATCAAACTTTGTCAGTTGATGCATCTTGGGTCCTTGGAGTAAAACAATTGAAAAGTAGGTCACTTTGACCTACTTATAAAATTTTATGATTATAATTTTAAAAAATATTTTAGGTATTAATTGGCTTAGAATCATCAAACTTAGTTGATGGGTCCTCAGAGAATGACAAGTGATAAGTAGGTCACCATGACCAACTCTCAGGTACTAATTGGCTTAGAATCATCTTGGGTTCTCAGAGTATGAATTGGAATTTCAAGGGTTTATGTAAATATACAGGATACTTTGAGGCTTCAAATAGAAGTGATAGGTTATACAGTTTATCAGAAGAGCGATTCAAGGCCCATGGGCCTCTTGTTTTTTATCAGTTTGTTTATTAGGGTTAAAGAATAATAAGCAGTGCTTTTTTTTTTGGTCAATAAGTATTGCTGTGTGGAAATTTCCAAATGCATACTTCTATATTTTTTTTTTCATAGAGCAAAGTTATTCGTTCTATGAAAGCTAAGCAAAGCGAGGGACAAGAGGAAGACTACAGAAAGGCCCCACATTCCTTTGTGTTTCACAGAGGTCATGTTGGTAAAAATATTCTACAGCTTATCAAGGACATGCGACATGTAATGGAGCCTTATACAGCATCCCGACTTCAGGTACTGAGAAAAAGTTAGGAAGATATTTTTGTAATAATTAGGTACTTTAGACTACAGGTACCAAACTTAAATTAGAAGATATTTATGTAATTATTATCTGACATCAGGTAGCAGTGATTTTTTTTCGGGTGGGGGGGGGATGTAATGAAATAATGGTGAAATTTTAAACATTGCTGACAAAGAGTAAATACATTTTTTTCTCTTCAAATTTATTCTCCAAACCCATGCACATACAAAAGGTTTTGTGATGAATGTGTAAAACAATGGAGGTATCCATGTAAACAGATACTTAGCTTATATACAAAACCATTAGATAGTTTCAAGATACAAGCCTTGAAGGGCCTTGGTAACATTTTTAGTTTGAATACAGGGTCGGGCTAATAACAGGAAAAGGACAAAACTATGGGATTTCAATAAAATCAGAAAAACAAAAACAGTAAAAACGTTCTGTACACTAGTAGTTTACTAGATAAGGTGTCCAAATGTTGGCAAATTATTATTTTTATTAGATTAGGCAACAAGTAATTTCAAGAAAAAAATAATAATTATACAAGGTGTGACTAATATAAGTAATGTTCCCATTCAATATTTATGTTTAAATTAAAAAAATAAATTGTTTTATGATTTTAAATCGGATATGAAGTAGACCTCAATCAAAAGCATGCCTGTTTGGTTATTTTATTCAATTTTTTTATCATTCTAATTTATATAAATGATTTTTCTCAATTTGAGAAAAATATCGCTAATTTTTCCCAATTCAAAAGGAGGGGTGGTAGTTTAAGAAGCAAAAAAAAAAAAAAAAAAAAAATCACTGTGGTACATGTAGTGTGGTAAAGTTAACTTTAACCTAATTAGGATGATATCTATGGAATAATTATTCAGACTTAAGGTACCAAAATAAAGTTAGAAGAGATTTATGTAATAATTGTCCTGACAATGTTAACAGGAAATGAGAACTAAAAAATATACTTATGCAATTTATGGCTATGAAATGTGAGGGAAAAAAGTATCATTGCATCGTATTTATTTCTTTTTTTGATTTTAAAGAAAAAATGTAGATTGTAGCATTACTTTTTGTACAGTACAATATGGTTACAGTGAACACATATATAATGAATTTATGCTTACAGCAAGTTATTTCCATAGTTTAAAAAAGTTTTGTAAACTTATCAGATATAATGATTAATAGTTATTGTTTGTTTCTGGTTCTTAGCCACAAGCATTTTAACTTTGGTGGTCTTGATTATTATCTAAAATCAAGATTAAAGCAAATTGAAGATTTATCTTAATTTCTCTATAATATCTAAATTAAGGAAATTTGACTTCTTTTTGGGATTTTTAACGAGTTCCGCCATTCTTTTTTTTTGAAGGGGGGGGGGGGTGCAAATACTCTAATTTTATAAAACCAAACATGTACCTTCTATGCTTCTTGAAAAAATGATACTTAATTTTATGAATCGATGTATAATTATGCTGTTTTGATCCTCTCTGATCACAATATATATTATTAAGTTATTAAGTTATCCCAGTATAACAATATAATTAAAAATTGGATGAAAGTAATTGCTCACAGTACTTATAAATTCTTTGAGATATTGGTTACTTTCAATGACTTTAAGTGGCAATTAAAATTCCTTTTTTTGTTGTTAATTATATATTATTTTGTAGGTCAGAAAGAAGAATGTGTTGAAAGACTTTGTCAGTATAGCTGGAGATTTAGGAGTGTCACATTTCTTGATATATACAAAATCAGAAATAAATGTTCACCTTCGAGTGAGTCGATTATCAAGGGGGCCAACATTAACTTTCCGAGTGAAAGAATACACATTGTGTAAAGATGTTGTGTCTTCCCTGAAAAAGCCAAATGTGGACCCAAAACAGTTCAATCACCACCCATTGTTAGTGATGAACAATTTTAGTGGGGAGGAAATGCATCTGAAGTTGATGTCCACAATGTTTCAGAACATGTTTCCTTCAATAAACATTAACAAGGTAGGAGTATCTTATGATGAAATAATCATTAACAAGGTAGGAGTATCTTATGATGAAATAAACATTAGCAATATAGGAATATCTTGTGATTAAATAAACATTAACAAGGTAGGAGTATCTTATGATGAAATAAACATTAGCAATATAGGAATATCTTGTGATGAAATAAACATTAACAAGGTAGGAGTATCTTATGATGAAATAAACATTAGCAATATAGGAATATCTTATGATGAAATAATCATTTACAATGTAGGAGTATCCTGTGATGAGTGCTTAGAGGACTATTAATTTCAGCTATTCACAAAACTAAACATATTGTCTCTATTTATGTGCATGAACATCTTTCATATTTATTACATTTAATTAATAGATACCATTCAGTCTGTAAATTAATTGATAATGAAAATATAGTAGATCTGTAGGTGTAAAACATGCATTTTAATTTGTTTCAGGTAAATTTGAATAACAGATTTTAATTTGTTTCAGGTAAATTTGAATAACATAAAGAGATGTGTGATGTTGAATTACAACAGTGAAGATAAGACAATTGACTTCAGACACTAGTAGGTTAATAAAATACTCAGTTCTTCTTTATAGTCCATCACTGTATATTTGTTGTCCTTTTTATGTCCAGCCATGAATATGGCCAAAGCATATAGTGTTTGTCATGTCTGTCTTCCAACCTGCTGTTTTTCTGTCTGTCTGTCTGTCACACTGCATTTAGCTCAGTTCGAAAGGACCTACTGTAAAAGTGGAAATTTTAAGAACATGCTAATTTTGACTATATTGACAGTGCGTTAAAGATACATTTACATAAACAAGTACATAGTAACTAAAACAAGTTCATAGATGTCTTAAAGGTAGTACATTGTACTCTTAAACAAGTGGTAAAGTTAAAAATATCTTCTATCTGCTTAATACTTTAAAATTGCTTGAATGAGTTGAAAAGGAATATATATATGCTTTTAAAGAATGTTGGGGATCTCAGTTTCTATTTATCAATTTACTATTTCAGTAATGTGAAGGTTGTACCAGTGGGGCTCAGTAAAGGTGTTAAGAAGTTAATTAAAGCAGAAGTTCCAGACCTTAGTCGTTACAATGATGTCTGTGATTTTATAACCAAGTAAGTAAGTAGTAAGTAGAAAGAGTACTTATATATATTTTTACGTGATCTATACATTCAATTGAACCTGGAACTACTGGCATGTCAGTTTAGTGCTCTACTGATTGAGCTAAAGTAAACCCAGAAGCCCATGCTAGTTGGAAGCCCAGTATCACACACTACCACATTGTCCCCCTTGCCAGAGAAAGAGGTGTCCACATTTCCCTTGGAGTGCTAGTGCCTGTGGGGCGAAGTTCTCGGTGCAGTCACTTTCATCCGCCAGAAAATACTTGGGTCCCAATGTGGGCACTCAATATAACAGAGATGCATACATGTATGTGCCTCCACTTCAGAATGAATCCGGGACCTCTGGCATGCCGGTCCAGTGCTCTACAAATTGAGCTAAAGGGTTAACCCATTAACCCACTAGCCCAAGCTAGTATCACACACTACCACATTTTGGCTATCAAGTACTAAAAAAAAGTATTACTGAAGTATTTTTAAAAAAAAAAATCTTAAAATACATAGACAGGAAATATGTTCTTAAATACATGTACATTGTGTATTTGAATTTATAGGGGAGGTAACCTCTCAGAGAGTGAAGCAGAACTGGATGGAGAGCATAATGAAGTGGTCTTACCCCAAGACATCAGAAGTAGGGGCAACATCAAAGCTGCTAAAAGTGCCATCAGGTAAATATCTAGTGAGGTAGGGGCAACGTCAAAGCTGCTAAAAGTGCCATAAGGTTAACATCTAGTGAGGTAGGGACAACATCAACATCTAGTGACACAATCCTGAGGTAGGGGTGACATCAGTGATTCAAAGAGTGTCGTGCCATCTGATATAACTTTATACAGTTATTGACTATTGATGAGGTCTTTTTGTGACTATACAAACCTGACCATGACCGTATGGTCTTGAGAAGACTGAAATCTAAAGTTAATAATCCTTTTATCAAATACTAAGGGATTTTGCAACATTGATTGTCTCTAAAATATGTTAACACTCAAAATATAATGTGTAACAACATATCATAATTATATTTCAACATAGTTTAAGAACTGTTTAAAAAAAGGAACAAAATTATAAAACAATAAAGATTTTAGTCTCTTCAATACTACCATTCACAACAACACATGCTCTAAAACATGCAATTTGATTGTTCGATAAAAAATCTATGGTTGGTGAAGAGAGAAAACTGGAATAAATGTCTCGGAACTTCATTTTGAGGTGAACTCTTTCTGAGGTACACCTCAGGAAAGACAGTCTAGACCAATCAGAGAACATCAGTGTTTCTGATCATTTAATAACTAGTGATAAACGATAAAGGTCTGAAGTAGAGGCAACATCAAGGCTGCTTAAAGTGCCATCAGGTAAAATATCTAGTGATACAACCCCAGTGTGGGCAGCATCTAGAATACATAGAGAGGACCATACTTGAAGTCTTGAAAAGGGTCAACATCAAGGCTGTTTAGAGTTTCATAGATAAACATCAATGATGCAAGTTTTCTTAGGTGTGTCAGGGTACATTTACCAATGTGAATGCAGTAAACAAGGATTTTTTACCCTTTGATTCCAGGGGCCGGGACAGTCAAGATTGGGAAAAATAGTGATATTTGGTTGAAATTAGGAAAAATATCTTCATAGAAATAAATAGGAAGAAACAGGCAAAAGTCAAATATTTAATCATTTTTCTTATTTTTTTTTAGTATGAAGCTGGCTTAAACAAGCTTTAGTGATATGAAATAATAGCAGCTGTTTGTTCCAGATGAGTGGTTAATCGGTATTGTTTGACCAATTTATAAGAATAAAAGTGATTCAACCCAGCCTGAAAATTACCGTCAAACTGGAGAGACTGACATGATGCACGTTTATTTATTAAATAACGATCCCGACTTTAATATTTAAACATCGATCCCGCTTTAAAAAGTATGCATGCAAACATCTGTAGTATTTCGAATAACTTCTTGAAACTCCTCGGATGGCTCGTACATCGCACATAGAGAACATAACATAAACACCTTTTTTGTCTTATTTTATTTTAATAATTTACAACTTTTAAATACTTTTTTTATATTGGGAATTTTTAGGTCTAATTTTGGGAAAAACATGCACTTTTCAGCATTGGGAATGGGGCCGAATTTCGGCCCCAGAGAGACCCTAAAAAAATCCCTGGTAAAGTAGAACTGAGAAGTTCCTCAAGGAAAATGATATCAGTGACAGAGTCATTATGATGAAAATGATATCAGTGACAGAGTCATTATGATGAAAATGATATCAGTGACAGAGTCATTATGATGAAAGCTTACTTCCATGGCTCTGAGACTTGTGAAGAAAACTTGTTACACACTCTGAATGAGCTTTGTCACAGCAAAATAAAGATATTTACATGTGAAGAAACTTGTTACACACTCTGAATGAGCTTTGTCACAGCAAAATAAATATATTTACATGTGAAGAAACTTGTTACACACTCTGAATGAGCTTTGTCACAGCAAAATAAAGATATTTACATGTGAAGAAACTTGTTACACACTCTGAATGAGCTTTGTCACAGCAAAATAAATATATTTACATGTGAAGAAACTTGTTACACACTCTGAATGAGCTTTGTCACAGCAAAATAAAGATATTTACATGTTAAGAAACTTGTTACACACTCTGAATGAGCTTTGTCACAGCAAAATAAATATATTTACATGTGAAGAAACTTGTTACACACTCTGAATGAGCTTTGTCACAGCAAAATAAATATATTTACATGTGAAGAAACTTGTTACACACTCTGAATGAGCTTTGTCACAGCAAAATAAATATATTTACATGTTAAGAAACTTGTTACACACTCTGAATGAGCTTTGTCACAGCAAAATAAATATATTTACATGTGAAGAAACTTGTTACACACTCTGAATGAGCTTTGTCACAGCAAAATAAATATATTTACATGTGAAGAAACTTGTTACACACTCTGAATGAGCTTTGTCACAGCAAAATAAATATATTTACATGTTAAGAAACTTGTTACACACTCTGAATGAGCTTTGTCACAGCAAAATAAATATATTTACATGTGAAGAAACTTGTTACACACTCTGAATGAGCTTTGTCACAGCAAAATAAATATATTTACATGTGAAGAAACTTGTTACACACTCTGAATGAGCTTTGTCACAGCAAAATAAATATATTTACATGTGAAGAAACTTGTTACACACTCTGAATGAGCTTTGTCACAGCAAAATAAATATATTTACATGTGAAGAAACTTGTTACACACTCTGAATGAGCTTTGTCACAGCAAAATAAATATATTTACATGTTAAGAAACTTGTTACACACTCTGAATGAGCTTTGTCACAGCAATATATATATATATATATATATATATATATATATATATATATATATATATATATATATATATATATATATTCTCTTGAGTATTTCTCACTGACTAATAATTACTAATAATAATTAGTATCACTGATACTAGTACATGTAAATATTTACAGCAGAGCTGATTGAAAAAGAACTAATACATGACTTTGGTCACTATGATGAAAACATACTTCCATGGCTCTGAAATAAAATGTAGAACCTTGTTACACACACTGAGTGACCTAAACTACATGTACCTTTTAAAGCCATCAAATAATAAGAGAAAATAAACATTATCAATATACACATATTTTTTTTTAAAATTATGCATGTCACAAATTTAGCCTGTAAACTAATCACAAATAGAAGGATTCAGTGGCAATATCTGTGGACATACAGGTACACACAGATACATGGCAATAGTGGGGCATATCTCTTCAGACAAAGTCTCATGGACAATATCAAATGTGTATAAATACAAAATGACATTTTAAGAGGTTCTTATTTTGTAGTCGGTCTGGTATTATAAGTGAAAAAACATGAAATAGTGTTAGTGTACATTTTTACTTCCCTTTGCTTGTATAGTTGGACAAATATCCCAGATCATGGTGATGAAAACATACTTCCATGGCTCTGAATAAAATGAAGAACCATGTTACACACACTGAATGATCTGTCTTTCATTTGAAATTAATTGCTGTTTTATGAAATCAGTTCTGGCTTTTTGTCTTTAAACATTTAATGAATCATCATACCACCAAATTCTAGTATGTGCCTAGTTAGAATAAGCTGGGTTTCGGGAAAAGCCCTCACCACATTTAGAATACATTCCATATAGTTGCAGTGTAGCAAATTGGAATGAAACCTCTGTGGCACAATTTTGAGGAATACAAAAGAAGTTGCACTGAAAAAAAAAAAAACAAACAAAAGAACATCAAATTAATCAAAATTTTTTTGAGCTTGTACAAGTCTTCCACCCTAAAAAAATAATCCACATAAAGAAAGAAATCAACACATTTTCTCAGTGGTCTTTTCTTGCTTCAAATTATACACCATGACATTCAGAACTCTGGATTGTTCATAGTATTTGTGAAGCTCAGAATTATCTGCTCTTGTTTATTTTGCTACATTGCCAACATATGGAACAAATTCTGTCATTAAACCAAGTCCATAGGACAGTATCATTTGAATAATGGAATGTTCTATCTAGTGCATGTATGTGTCCATGGAAGTTTGTACTTATTGAACTAGTTCACTGTAATATTGCAGACATCATTTTAAGAAAGGAAATTAATGTTTGAAAGAGTTCAGAGGGAATAGAAAAAGGGAAATAAAAAGTTCAGACAAATATGTTAAAAAGTTTTTTTTTAAAGACAAATTAGACATAAAACACTGTAAATAATATTTATTATATAGGATAGCTTGTCACTGTGATGAAAGCTTACTTCCATGGCTCTGATGAAATGAAGAATCACGTTACACACTCTGAGTGACTTCTGATATAATCAGAGAGAAATAGAAAATTGATTCATGGAAACAAATATATTTCCAAAGGGAAAATTTTGGAATTGTGATCTGTTTTGTTATTATTTTTAAGTTTTCTCATTATTTATTCACCATTAATTTTTTTTTTTTTAGATTTTTTGATTAAGTTTTGAATGTCATAATTTTAGTTAAAATATAAATTTGCTCATGGAAAAAAGCATTCTGAGAGTATTGCATAAGCGATTCTACTCTCCTACCAGTACCAGCAAGTGTAACCTGGTTTCCCTTAAAACTTAAAAGCCATTAAATCCATCTCATCAAAGAGGAATGAAATACAAACATAAGCTGTAACTTGTCAAGGTAGACTCGCATACCAATAATCCAGCTCAATATCTGCTAGAGTATAGAAGAAAAAAAGAACCAAAATGACAGAAAGAAAAGGTTTCACCTGTAGGGGACTAATAAAACTGTATACAGTATTTTCCAGATCATAGTGATGAAACCTTACTTCCATGGCTCTGAAATAAATGAAGAGACATGTTACACACTCTGAATGATCTTTCTTATGCAGGATTTAAAATGTTAAAAAATGTGGAAATGCTGTTGAGGAGTAGTTGATGTGAATTTTGCAATCAGAAAATTTTTCAGAAAATTGTACCCTTGTGTTTAGTAGTACTCAAAAACATGAAAAATAGCTATATTTAGCATATTAATGTTCAGTTTCAATTCTGTATTTAAGAAATTTGCAAAAATAATTGCCACTTAATTTTTATACCCCCACACTGAAGAAGAGGAGGGTATACTGTTTTACCCTTGTGTGTATATGTCTGTCTGTGTGTCTGTCCGTAACAAAGTTTCGCCGCAGTTTTCTCAGCAACTACTAATCGCAGATGCTTGAAATTTTAGCACACTGTTGAGGCATGCCATTAGGTGGGATTCATGAGAGTGTATATTCACATCAGAGTGGGGGTATTACTAGTGAGCATTTGCTCAAAGTCTTCCTGTTATTTTTTTAGAGTGCAACTTCAATAAATACATGTACTAGTATTTAAATCATATTAGAGAGTAATGTCTCATGTAGTAAATATTCCTTACAGAAAGTGCTGTGTACATGTTTAAGATGAATACATTTTGCCTTATGTTGAGAAAATATAATCAACTTGTACCATTATAATTCTGTGAAAGTTTGTAGTTAAATTGTTTTGTTTATTGAAAGGTTGACAGAAATTGGTCCCCGTATGACGTTACAGCTGCTGAAGATAGAGGATGGTGTATGTCAGGGGGAGGTCATGTTTCATGAACTAGTCATCAAAACTGACAAAGACCTCAAGGATCTAAAAGCTCTGAGAGATTCAAAGAGGTAGCTTGCTTTTTAATGGTTATGACTACATATAAGTATCATAAGCATCATTTTAGAGAGCATTTTTAAATGTTAGATAAACTAATGTCTCCCCCTCCCCCCCCCCCCCCCCCTTCATACCCACACACCACACACAATATACAAGTTGTAAAAATCACTAAATTATTTAATTGGAATTTAAGTCCTGTTATTTGTGAAGTGTTATTAAATTTATAGGTTTTTTTTAGGAAGCTGAAAGAACTACGAAAGAAACAACAGGACGAGAATGTCCGAAAGAAGAAACTTAAGACTGAGAAACACAAACAGAAGTGTCTGGAGGGAATGAAGAGAAGAAGAGGGGAGGAAGATGTAGAGCAGCCAGAGCTGGGAGGTAAGGATTGTCTAATATCTCTATAGGTACAACTGTACTATACCCAGGGCTCATAATTATTGTAAGCTATAACATTCGGATACGTTGTTACTAAGACCCTTATCACTTTTAAAACATTTACTAGGGAAGAATCATTAAATGAATGATTTTAAAATGTTCAGATGGTTCAGTATTGCACGTAGTTACCGTGTTGGCCTGTTTTTTTAACTGAAAGAAATATGCCTATGGCAGTTTTTTTTTCTTAATTTTTATTTAACATCTCTTGCAAGAATTTTTTCTCTCAAATGAGATGTTGCAAGATAACGTTTGAAGGGTTTCAAATTTAGACCTTTACTTGGCACTCAGGGTATGAGGGTTTCTTTAACGTGGCAATGTCTGCCATGACATGAAGCCTTGGTTTAAAAGATCTCAATGGAGAGACACAATTTACTCTTTAATAGTGCAGAGTGTTAAGTAAATGATCAGTCATTTCAATTTTAATCAAGTTTTGAAAAGAAAAATAGCTCAATTTTCAATTTTCTCCAAGTTGAAAAAGAAAAATGATTTATGCCTCTTTTCATATATGACGTTTTTATGAAATATTCAATATATTTTTTTTTTAAATGGTTACTTTTAAAAGTTAAAAATTTATGTCCCCTGAGTCCAGCGTTCAGGGTCCAGAGCAGGGTTGTTACCATACTGAAAATACAATATTACTAGTTTGCAAATGTTCTTATTTGTCCCCCGCTATTGCAAAAACGTGGAGACATTAAATCTCATGTTTGTCACAAAAACTTAAACCTTAAGAAAAAATAAGGCTTTCATATTTTACATGTACATTATTCATGACAACACTGTTCAAGGAGTAATATCATTTTTAGCTCACCTCAACGAAGTTGGGGGAGCTTATGTAATACTCTGAGCGTCGGTGTCCCAGGTTAAAGTTTTTGGAGCAGTTTTCTTTTCAAGTACTTCTATGCCCTATATCAATCAGAGATGCATGGAGGATGCTTCTAGTGTGTTTCATTATACATGTACCAGTCAAGGTTTCAGATGCTGCAATTTCAGCTAAAGAATGACCAGGTTAATGTTTTTGGAGCAGGTTAAGGTTTTTGGTGCAGGTTAAAGTTTTTGGAGCAGGTCTCATTTCCAAGTAACTATAGGCCCTATATTGACCAAACTTGCATGGATGATATGTCTAAGGATGCACACTACTGAACTTGCTTCGGATGCTTGATCTGACCTATATTTTCCGGATGAGTGACCAGGTTAAAGTTTCTGGAGCAGATCTCATTTCCAAGTAACTAAAAGCCCTATATTGACCAAACTTGCATGGATGATACACCTAAGGATGCACACCATTGGACTTTCTTCAGATGCTGGATATGACCTATATTTTTTCCAGATGAGGGACCAGGTTAAAGTTTTTGGAGCAGATCTTATTTCTAAGTAATTATAAGCCTTATATTGACCAAACTTGCATGGATGATACGTCTAAGGATGCACACCACTGGACTTGCTTCAGATGCTGGATCTGACCTACATTTTCTGGTTGAGTGACCAGGTTAAAGTTTTTGGAGCAGATCTCATTTCCAAGTAACTATAAGCCCTATATTGACCAAACTTGCATGGATGATACGTCTAAGGATGCACACCACTGGACTTGCTTCAGATGCTGGATCTGACCTACATTTTCTGGTTGAGTGACCAGGTTAAAGTTTTTGGAGCAGATCTCATTTCCAAGTAACTATAAGCCCTATATTGACCAAACTTGCATGGGTGATACATCTAAGGATGCACACCACTGGACTTGCTTCAGATGCTGGATCTGACCTACATTTTCCAGATGATTGACCAGGTTGAGGTTTTTGGAGCAGATCTCATTTCCAAGTAACTATAAGCCCTATATTGACCAAACTTGCATGGATGATACATCTAAGGATGCATACCACTGGACTTGCTTCAGATGCTGGATCTGACCTACATTTTCCGGATGAGTGACCAGGTTGAAGTTTTTGGAGCAGATCTCATTTCGAAGTAACTATAAGGCCTATCTGAACCAAACTTGCATGGAATATGCATCAAGGGACGAACACTCTCAAACTTGCTTCAGATGCTGGATTTGACTTGCAGTTTCTGGATGAGTGACTAGTTTTAATTTTTTAGATAAGTTCCCAAGCAGCAAGCCATATCAGACCAAAATTGCATAAATGTTGCATCTAGGGATGCACACTACTAAATTATTAGTTTAGTGTGGGACATTATCTTACTTAAAGACAACATTTGTTGAGGTGAGCTCTGTAATCTCTGATTACCTATGTTTTACTTCATGACCTTGAAATTTGAGCAACTATTCAATTATTAGCTAGGAGCTAATCTATGGCCATTTATGCGGTGTGCGTAAACTTTTTAGAATATGGGCTATAACTCAAGAACCCCTTGGCCAATTGTTGTCAAATTTGTCACAATGTATCCTTGGCCCAAGGGCTCCTGTTTATATACAAAAACCAGGGTTGTGACCCTTAAGCAAGGGGAGATAATTAGATAAATAAAACCAAAAGTACAGGTTGCTAAAAAATCTTCTTCTCAAGAACCACTGGGCAGATTATCACCAAACTTACACAAAAGAATGAGGATATGTTGAAGATTAAAAATTGTTCAAGGCATCACCCTTGGGCAAAGGGCGTGGTCTCAAGATCACTTCAAAGTTGACCAAAAATTACATTTTATTAAAACTTTGATATTTTGCTTACTATAAGAACTAGGATCATCAAATCTTGTCATTTGATGCATCTTAGGACGTCATATCATGTTGACTCAAAAGTAGGTCATGGTGACCTACTTTGAAAATTTTGCAGCCATTCTTTTTCAAGTTGATTTAGAGGCATATTTTGAACAATTTAAGGCCTTTGGTCATCATACTTTGTCAGTTGTTGCATCTTGGGTCCTTGGAGTACGCCAACTAAAAAGTAGGTCATGACCTACTTTTTGAATTTTATGGCTGATCTTTTTCAAAACATTTAAGGTCATTAATTCAAATACTGAGAGCTTAAGAATCATTAAATATTGTAAGATGATGCATTTTGGGGCCTTAAAACAAATTTATAAAAAATGTAGGACACAGTGACCTACTTTTTGAACTTTGCAGGCATTCGATTTCAAAGCATTTTAGAGGCATATTTTGGCCATTTTAAGGCCTATGATGATAAAACTTTGTAAGTTGATGCATCTTGGGACGTCAAAAAAGCGTCAACTGAAAAGTAGGTCACCATGACCTACATTTTAAATTTTATGGCTACATTTAAATATTTTTGGTACTATTTGGCTTAGAATCATCAAACTTTGTCAGTTGATGTATTTTGGGTCCCTAGAGAAGGTCAACTAAAATGTAGGTCACTTTGAATTTATATGGCTATAATTAAATATTTCGGGTACTAATTGGTTTAGAATCATCAAAGTTTGTCAGTTAGAATCGTCAGAGTTTGTCAGTCGATGCATCTTAGGTCTGTTGTTTACCAAAAAGTTTGGAATCTCATAATCTCCTGGCTATATCTGAATATTTAAGATAATAAGGGGCTTCGAATCAACACACTTTGTCAGTTGATTCATCTTGGGTTCTCAGAGTGTTTTAACCAAAATGTAAGTCATGACAACCTTCTTTTGGAATTTCAAGGCTTTATCTTAATATACAGGATACTTAGATGCATCATATAGAAGTGATAGGTTGTACAATTTATCAGAAGAGTGAATCAAGGCCCTTGGGCCTCTTGTTTTAAAGTTTAGCTGGGCAGTAGCTTTTGCATCTGAAGAGACAAGGCTGCCTTTTCATATTTTTAGCTCTAATGGTCAGAGACAAAGTGAGCTTAAGCAATAGTAAGGTGTCTGTCTGTAGAGAAATGAATAGGTTTTTAGCTCACCTGAGCTGAAAGCTCAAGTGAGCTTTTCTGATCACCTGTTGTCTGTCGACCATCCATCTGTCCATCTGTAAACTTTTCACATTTTCAACTTCTTCTTAAGAACCAGTGGGCCAATTTTAACCAAAATTGGTACAAAGCATCCTTGGGTGAAGTGGAGATTTTTTTTGTAAAAATGAAAGGCCAAGTCCCCTTACAAGGGGAGATAATTAAGAAAAGACAAAAATAGAGTGGGGTCTTTAGAAAATCTTCTTCTCAAGAACCACTGGGCCAGAAAAGCTGAAATCTATGTGAAAACATCATTGGGTAGTATAGATTCTAAATTGTTCAAATCATGACCCCCGGGGGTAGGGTGGGGGCCACATTAGGGAATCAAAGTTTTACATTGAAATATATATGAAAAATCTTTAAAAATCTTCTCAAGAACACTGTACCAGAATAGCTGAAACTTATGTGTAAGCATCCTTGATTAGTGTAAATTCTAAATTGTTCAAATCGTGACCTCCAGGGGTAGGTTGGGGGCCACATTAGGAAATCAGTTTTCCATTGAAATATATATATGAAAAATCTTTAAAAATCTTCTCAAGAACCACTGGATCAGAAAAGCTGAAACCTATATGAAAGCATCCTTGGGTAGTGTAGATTCTAAATTGTTCAAAGCATGACCCCTGGGGGTAGGATGGGGCCACATTAGGGAATCAAAGTTTTACATTGAAATATATATGAAAAATCTTTAAAAATCTTCTCAAGAACCACCTGACCAGAAAAGCTGACATCTATGTTAAAGCATCCTTGAGTAGTGTAGATTCCAAATTGTCCAAATCATGGCCCCCGGGGGTTAAGGTGGGGCTACAATAGGGAATCAAAGTTTCAGATTGAAATATATAGGAAAACTCTTTAAAAATCTTTTTCTCAAGAACCACTGTACCAGAAAAGCTGAAACTTACGTGGAAGCTTCCTAAGTTATTGTAGATTCTAAATTGTTCAAATCATGACCCCCGGGAGTAGGTTTGGGTCACAATAAGTATTTCAAGGGGGAAAATCTGGTGAAGAAGAGCAAGGCTAAAGTTACTCAGGTGAGCTTTGTTGCCCATGGGCCTCTTGTTTTTTTGTTTTGTTTTTTTTTTTTTTGAGATCCACAGGGCTAAAATTTGACAATGAGTATATGTAAGCACACTGAGCAAGCCCTGTATACAAATTGATCCTTGTTCGGGAAAAACAGTGAATTCACATGAGCATGTGTACATGTATGCTTGTTTCTTGTTTCAGATGTAGTACACAACATTTGATTGAGATGAAGCACATCACTTGACCTTAAAACTGAATGAAATGACCTAAAAAGAATTCTATTGAACTATTTTTTTCACTAGGCTATCAGATAAGCCTTGCAAAGCCAATTTTTATGCCCCATTGACAAGAACTTCAACCATCATTTAATCTAATTGGTGTAAATTTCAGATTGGCTTTTAAAGTTTTGCTACATTTGCTAAAGAGTGTTTTGAATTCTAGATAAATTCACATCAGTTAGATATTCCAACTATTATCATCTTTGAAGAGTCAGTTTTTACTTGTACAGAGTAATGATTCCCCTGTATTTAGTTTAGAAGAGGTTTGTCAATTCTCTTAAATATTGTGGGTGATTTAAAAAGTTTTGAGAATTTGTTTTATCAATTTAGGATTCTAATAATTAAGCTATACCTGAGTGTTATGAATAATGAAGTTGGGAAAAGCAGCAAATTTAATTCAAAATCAATGGCAGTGTGAATGAAGATGCTCATTGTGCACCCAACTCAAATCAACAAAATTATATATCTCTGCAAGAAATCTTGGTAATCTCTTATAATGAGTTAAAAGCCTAACATTTGTTAACCAATTGCAGTTAAGCAGCCATTTAATAACCATTGTTTTAGCCATGAAAGTTTTTTTTTTTTAATTTTGCTTTACCTTAACTAGAACATTTTAAGATATTCCAGATAAAGTGATAAGTCTACAAAAATTTTTATAGACTTTATTATTACACCTCTAACAGTAAAAAAATTTTAATTATGTTATTTTTCTGTGAAATTTTGTAATTTTGAGATATTGGGTTGAGATTCTGTAAACAATTGTATATATATGCATTGAAGATTAAGTGTGTGTTTCTTTCTGTTAAAGTGTCCATTATTGAGCTAAAAATAATGAAAATTCTGTTTTTCTGTAACTTTTGTCAGATATTAGAATGAAATTTGAAACATTTTTGTGCTTTTGACAAATGAAAAATGCTGGAAGGTAAAATCTATTGCCATTTGTGTAAGTACAAGTATGACATTGTTTAATTGAGAGTTAAATCAATTCACATACTTTAAGCAGGAATCAGATACCACAATTAAATGTTGAGAACTGTAAGATTAGTCTTGGAAGCTTTGATATGTTGTATGTAAGCATTTTAAATGGAACATCTGGTGCAGTATTTGGTAATTAGGACAATCACCTCATGTTGTAATTAATGAACCACAACAATTTCTTCTTGTTATCAGTCTGTACTGGGGCCTGAGAAAGCTGAGAAAGTTGCTTTGAAAACAGGATTCTTTAGTTAATACATGTCCTTTTTGTCTTTTTACAAGAAAGGCAGAGGCAAGCAAACTTATAATAAAAAATCTTTTGTATTTAATTTTTTTGTACATACATTTATGAATACTTTTAGCATTTCAGTTTTTCACAATGATTTTTAGCTTTACTGGTCAGAAACCAGAAGAGCTTATGTGATAGTAAGGTTGTTGTTGCCCTCCTGTCTGTCTGTCTGTAAGCAATTTTTCAAAATGCTACTCCTCCCACAGTTATGGTCTAATTTCAATATATAATTAACTTGGCACACAAGTAGACTACACTAAGATACATATCTTTTTATTTTTTTTTATATATTTTAATGAACAGTGTTGTCATAGTTTACAAAAAATAGAAATTTCTGTGAAATTCTTTCACAATGCTACTTGTACTACAGTTTTAATCAGATTTGAATATAACTAGGTACACAGATAACACTAAGACAAATAATTCTATAACACTAAGACAAATAATTCTATTTATCAGAGTAGATTTCACTAAGATACATAATCCTGTATAACCATTTTTGGTTTTAACAAATGTTGCCATGGTTACTAAAAAATAGAAATTTCTTTGAAATTCTTTCAAAAGGTTACTCCTACTACAGTTTTTGTCGAACTTCAATTAAACTTGCAAAAAAGAGACTAAACCAAGGATCATCATTTCTATTGTTATCATCATAGCTTCAAGTGCTACTTTTCTCTTCCTTTGTTAAGGACCCTCTATACACCAGTGCAAAATGTTTTTTGACACTGAGAAATACTGTATAAATGTGTTAATATTAAGCTTATCTATTGAATTTTCAATTTATGGTTCATGGCACTTATCCCAAGGAAAAAAGTTCAAAGACAAATGTTCAGAATGCTAGAATTGATCACAAATTGAGTAATACACTGAAGATTTCAATTTATTTGAGTTCGGATCTAAGGGTAAATCACTCTAGCTGCAGCAAAATACCACAGAATCAGAACTCTTTAGCTGCTATAGGACATGGTATGAAATTTTTTTTTTTTATTAAATTTGTGGCCACGAAATAAAATTCATTCCCATGAAATTAAATTCGTTCTCATGAAATAGAATTAGATCCCAGGAAATAAATTTAATTTCTTTGCTTATAATATGAGATGAATGACTGTACAACATTTTCATCTGAGGTTGAATAATACTTGTATTTTTAACCATTATCAGATAGAGATGTATATTACTATCTTACTGTACATATCTAAGTTGTCATTAACTGTTGTATTTAATAAGTCTATATATTACATCATTTAATAGGTCTAAAGATTATATGTCTGGTAAACAGAAACTGTACTTTGTGTCTCACAAAACAATTTTTGATATTTCTTCAAAGTATGTTGATTTAAAATGACACACTCTCTGCAACTGAGTGTGCTTACTGCACACGAGTTTTTACTTTTATTTATGCAAACTAACTTTTCCGATCAGTAAATGCTATAATTTAATTCAAGGTAGAATTTGTTTTGGAGGCTGCAGATCTGTAGTGAAACCAAGGTTTCTTAAAATCCTTCTTATATGTCGACCACTGATACTATATACGTGTTTTGTTAGACTCTCTAAAATCTGATTGTGTGTCATTACGAGTAAAAAAAAAGTAATTTATAAGCATCTTTAAATAGTTCAAATACACTAAACCAGCTTCCTCGAAGGATAAAGTATTACTGAATTACAATATAACTGCGCCACATACTTATGCAACTTTCATTTTGTGGGAATGAATTTTTATTTCGTGGGAACAAATTTAAATTCATGGGAATGAATTTTATTTCGTGAGAACCAATTTTTATTTTGTGGGAACCAATTTTTATTTCGTGGCCACGAATTTTATTTCATGGCCATTAATTCTTATTTCATGGCCACGAATTTTTATTTCATGGCCACAAATTTTATTTCGTGGTCACAAATTTTTATTTCTTGGCCACGAAATAAAATTTGTGGCCACAAAATTTATTTTGTTCCCACGAATGTTATTTTGTTCCCACGAATTTTATTTTGTTCCCATGAATTTTTATTTCGTGGCCACAAATTAAAAAAAAAAAATTCTCATACCATGTCCTATACCAGCCACCGTACTTTAGTGTGCAGTGTAGGGAGGGTTTTAAGTAAAAACCAGTAGAGCTACAGTCTCATTAGAGACTTCTGGTTTGAAAATGAAAAATCAACTTAAAAATGGTAGAAATTATAAGCATATTTCAAAAAGAAGAAAAAACAAGATGTGTTTGTGAAACACTGATGCCCCCGTATGGCAGCTTATGGCTAAGGTTAAGTTTCTTCAAATGCAAGTCAAAATCCAGACCAAAAGATAAAAAATGTTGATACCCAAAGAAAGGTCTTGTCTCGAGGAATACACCTGTGAAATTTGAAAGACCTAGATACAACTGTTCAAAAGTTATGCCAAAGGTTAAAGTTTTTCAAATAAAAGTCAAACGTCAAGGGCAAGGTCAAAGTGGTTGGTATCCAAAGGAAGATCTTGTCATAAGGATTACATATGTGAAGTATGAAAGCCCTAGCACCAACCATTCAAAAGTTATGGCCAAGGTTAAAGTTTTTCAAAAGTAGGTCAAACTCCTAGGTCAAGGTCAAAGGGTCAAAGTGGTTGGTATCCAAAGAAAGTCTTGTCGCAAGGATTACATATGTGAAGTATGAAAGCCCTAGCATCAACCATTCAAAAGTTATGGCCAAGGTTAAAGTTTTTCAAAAGTAGGTCAAACTCCTAGGTCAAGGTCAAAAGGTCAAAGTGATGGTTGGTATCAAAAGGAAGGTCTTGTCGCAAGGATTACATATGTGAAGTATGAAAGCCCTAGCTCCAACCATTCAAAATTTATGGCCAAGGTTAAAGTTTTTCAAAAGTAGGTCAAACTCCTAGGTCAAGGTCAAAGGGTCAAAGTGGTTGATATCCAGAGGTAGGTCTTGTCACAAGGAATACACATGTGAGGTTTGAAACCCTAAACACCAATTGTTCAAAAGTTATGGCCAAGGTTAAAGTTTTTCAAAAGTAGGTCAAACTCCAAGGTCAAGGTCAAAAGGTCAAAGTTGTTGGTATCCAAAGAAAGGCCTTGTCACAAGGAATACACATGTGAAGTTTGAAACCCCAAGCTCCAACTGTTCAGAAGTTATGGCCAAGGTTAAAGTCTCATAAAATTTTGCAAAAGTGGGTCAAACTCCAAGGTCAAGGTCAAAAGGTCAAATATGATGGTACCCAAAGAAAGGCCTTGTCACAACGAATACACATGTGAAATATGAAAGTCATAGCTCCAACCAATCAAAAGTTATGGGCAAGATTAAAGTTGACAACAGACAGACAGACAAACAGACAAACGGACAAACAGACAAACAGATAAACAGACAAACAGACAGACAGGACAAAAACAATATACCCCCGGGATCTTTCGATCCGGGGGCATAAAAATGTTTTATTTAATATGTATTATAGATTTATTCATTTTGATATTATATTGCACAAAAGTATTTGTTTTCCAGATGCAGATGATGATAATGCAAATGATGAAGATGATGATGATGCAGCATACTATCAACAGGAAGTAGGGGAAGCCCCTGATCCAGGTTTAATATTCACTTAAATTATTATTTTAACATTCTTCTGAAATTTTTTCATTAGTTTTTTTTTTTTAAACTTGAAATTGGTAATATTCATCTGTCTAGAAAATATTCCATGCGGATGTTTTCCTAGATAGGTGTACTCCAAATTTACATGTAGAAAAAAAAACTATATACTTTACCAAATGGGGTGGAGTATATATGAATTAAGGGATGATATTGGATGATACTTGTAAATCTGTTATACTGTAAACATATTTCATTTGGCTGTGTATTCTTTTTAGTGCCTTTGGCAGAAAGAAACTTCGGCTAATTCAAGTATAATGCTAAATTTCTTGCATATGTATACATAAATAAGGACATTTAGAAATCCACTTAATCAAATCTACGCTAACTTGTTCAAAAATCAATTTCTGCCAAATATTGTACACGCTAAATATAATACATTTACAGTAATTAGGTACACACTCTGCAGATGCCTTATAGTGATCAATCTGTCCATCTATCCCACATCATTTCTCTGGAGCATGTTTTCTTTCCCCTTGGCCAAGTTAAGCTCAAACTTCACGTATGAAATGCCATGGATAGAGAATATTCAGCTGCCCTGACCATTTTCTTAATCCAAAGTCAAGGTCAAAAAACATCTGTGTTTTAAATCTTTGTACGAATCTTTTTTTTTTTGTCCTCTTAACCCAATCTTTGCTAAAACTTCATCCATATATTGCCCATGGGTAAAGAGAGGAGAATTCAAGCTAGCTAATTCAAGATCCAAGGTAAAGGTAAAAAAGTCCCTGTAAATCCTTGTCTGAGGCTTATATTTCTCCCCTTAGCCCAATCTGACTCATATTTTACCCATAGATTGCTCAATGGTAATGGGTATGCATTGACCTTGAACCAATTTTATAAGTACACATACAAGGTCAAGATTATTCATGTACCGGAATGCTGTTGACAAAAATTCTTGTTATGAGAATTTTTCTTCTCTGTGGGCCTGTTTGGCTCTTACCTCATCTAAAGAGTGCCCATGGGTAAAGATATATGTCAAGAATCAAAGTCAAGCTCAAAATACATTCTTTTACATTTCATCCCAATGACCCTTCCCTTTGGGAATGTCGTGAGAATATTTGTAATTATCAGTGAGAATCTGAAGCACAGAAACAGACTTTTAAGATTTTTTTACTTGGTCTCTGGAGCTTGTTTTTCATTGACAATTGAAATATATGCTTAATCAAACATACTTGTTTCAATATTGTCTTAGATACCTTATTTTGAACACCAGTGACAACGTAATGGCCTTGTATCTAAACATGAAAACTCTATATTCCAGATCTGTTTCAAAGTACCAGGAGGAAGAGAAAGGTTGTTTCAAAGTCACCAGTTCCTCACAAGAAAAAGAAACCAAATGTTGTGAGCAATGGTGACAAATCTAACATTAAAGACAGTATGAAAGGAAAAAATATCAAATTTTCTCGGGGATCAAAACCTGATGAGTCATGGAAAGTGAAAGGAAAATCCAAAGGTGGAAAAATAAAGCAGAAAAACAGGCCAGATAATAAGAAGGTTAAAAGGTCAGGAGAGATAACCAAGAAACCCAAATTTAAAGCAAAACGAAAAGGCAGAAAATGATGTACAAATTTTGTATTGAGAATTAAAGAAAAGAAATGAAAAGGCTTTGTTTTGGTTATCTTGGTATTTGGCAGATCATCCAACAGTGGCATAAATTAATGGATTTTGTTTTAGAGTGATGAAAGGAAAAGATAGGCTAAGACCCTTTTTTGGCCCCTGGTTTGGGGTGTCTTTTAGAATGATGCAACAGTTTATCAATAAAAACCTGTTGTCACGCCTGCCACAAAATGAGTACTGGCACTAAGGTAATGAATACACAGAGGTCGCAGAAAGGTCAGAAAATATGTCAATTTCCGAATTTTCTCATTTTTATGCAAATTTTTATCGATTTTACAGCACATTTTGTTTCAGAAAACGGAGAGCACAAGCTTGCCTATATACCAAAGAACGAGGGCGCTTTTGATTGGCATTTGGCAGGAATCTGGGCCACTTGAAAAGTGAAAATTTCATTGGTCTGTCACATGAAATTTTAGCATTCTTTTGATGTATCGGGTTCCTGTGAAATAGGAAAGGGAAATATTTTCCCGATATTGTATTTTGATTTGCTGAAAAAAGATCTTGAAAATTGGTTAGATGAGTAACTTGGTACAAAATGTTACTTTTTCAAACACGTTTTTCTGAAAATTTGCTTTTTGGTCATCTCTCCATGATTTTGAAACGTTATTTGTGTGCATTTTAATTCAAAGAAACTAACAATCATTTGTAAAAAATGGAGAGAAGACCCAGAGACAATAAAAAAAATGAACTTCTTCCCCCCCAAAAAATCCAATGTGTAAATGCGTTGCTTCATTGTCGCTTTAAAAACCATAAAGTGTGTGGAGCGGTTATAGCTCAGTAGTATGCGTTACCCGTCCAATGCAATGAAAAAGAAATATTTTTGGCTCGATCCTCGCATGGAGTGTTAATATTTTTTTAGTACAAACAATCAATTCTTTCGTCAATTTAATTTTATATACTGATTTATTTTCAAATACATAAATTCTGGTTATTTTGCACCGAAAGCGAAAGCAATTCTTCCAACCTACTGATACTTTAATGCATGTAATTGCATTTAACTATACCCTATAGGTGTTTATTATTTATGTGAAGCGTTACTAAGTTTTACATGTAGTAATTATTAAGATAAGCAGACTTAAATATTAAATTTGACAAAGTATTTCAAACTAAATGTAACATTTTCCCATGTGCGTAACTTTGTAAAGTGTGTCCAGCTGTGGTCAGCCGACCAAATCGTAGACATTTAAACTATAAATTAATCGTACGCCTTATTCCTGCAGATCACACGCCAAACACGCCCATCTTCTTTAGATATTTAATATACATGTACTAGTATCAGATGTATCTTATGTATAAAAATCTCAGATATGCAAGCTTGTGCTCTATGTTTCCCGAAGTGAAACGATCTCAAATTTGACGAAATTCCACCAGAATTGAAGAAATTCGGGAAAATGTCCTACTTCTGCGCCTTCTTATGGTCTCCGAGTAAGCTTTGAATCAAAATTAGTGCTGGTTTTAAAACAAGCATCATTTTAAGTAATTATCACAATTTTAACTGTGCTAAGATTTTCACATCAAATAAGGGGCCAGATTCGGCCGTTACCATACATTGTTCTTTAGAGAGTTAATAAAAGGAAATGCAAGGTTAAGATGTAGTCTTCCTGGTGGTGTTTTGTTGTATGTGCTCTTGCAGTTTATGCTAAACAATGGACCATTGTTACTTTTTTCACTAATGATATAAATCAAAATCAATTTTCTAAAACATATATTTATTGTAAAGTGTAAAACGTATAGAAATCACCGGTACTTATACAAAATATTTGTTTAATATCTTGCACCTAATGTCACATAACGGACTCTTCCGAGTTCGCAGTGGCTTTAAAACACAACATAAACGCGACAAACATGTTTGGATATGTTCTAAAAGTAATTGCCCTAAAGCTTGCTGTTCATACTTAACATGTAAAGTTAAACACGCAACACAGTCACCAGATAAACAAACATTCAATCGATGTTATTAACACTAAGAAATAAATAGATAGGTTGTTGATCTTTTTCATTAACCACGACTGCGCAATCTGGCTTGTGCTTCAGCAAATGCTCTGAGGTACTCTGCATGAGTTACGCCTTGGGGACCTCGAGGGCCTTGTGGTCCAGCGTCACCCGGCATTCCAGGGTACCCAGGATTCCCTTGTTCTCCCATTATTCCGTAGTCTCCTCGAGATCCAGACCATCCTTCGTTACCAGGGGGACCAGTGTCGCCAGGCTTTCCCTTCTCTCCCATACGTCCCGGGATTCCGGTCTCTCCAGTGTCACCTTGATCTCCTATGGGCCCAGGTTCTCCAATTACACCTGGCATTCCAACGTATCCCGTTAATCCGGGAAATCCGGGAAACCCAGGGATGCCTGCAAGAGTATCATTTCAGCATGTTACAAATTTGTTCAATTTTTTGTTACTAAAGAAAATTACCTGGAGGAATGGTGACAGCAGGAGAAGCAACATTTAATGTGCAGATTGACATTGAGATTGAACCGAATAATGAAAAAAATATCGTCAAGAATCATTTGTGTGAATAAAATTATGTTAGTAAGTTCTTTGAAATATTAATTGCAGTTGTTGCACACACATATGGGATAAAATGTAATGTTTTTCAATTTTCCGTATAATGTATAGATCCTCTCATCTATTAAAAATTTAAATCATTAGAGATACAGTCTCATTCGAGAGTTTTCTTCTTTGTGTTTTTTACCGACTCGTCACAAAATTACCTCAGTAAAATAATTTACATACACTGTAAATGTTGCTCGAGGTCTCTTGTTTTGCTACAATGATCCCGATTGCCTTTAAGAACTTCGTAATTTAAAAAAAATATGAGATGTCTTCAGTTCTTACCCTTCTTGCATGTTTCCTCATATTATCATTTTGTAAGTTGGATTTAAATTTTGTGTTTACCTCCACTCAGAAGATTCAAAAGAAATTGGATGAATAAGTAGAGAAAAATGGAATGACGAATAACGATGTGAGAAAAAAAATTCAATCATAAAACTTTCTTTGATAAATCAGTTCACATTAACGAAACTATGCTCCATGTAAAATCCCCCTCAATTTGCTACAATCTCGTTAAGTATTGAAGTAATATTCGGCTATAAATAAACATGTTCCTACTCCAAAGACAGCTAAAATGGCTATTTCCACATAAAGCACAAATTTTCCAAATAAGTGGGTATTTGCTAGGTTTTTTTGTTTTGTATGTCTTTATAGTTTGCGTAAAAATAAAAAAAAAATTGTTAGCAAAAATATGTAGTAAGGGTCCACAATAGCCAAAAAATACACTTTACGACACATGTGCACATCTTGCCTACATGTGTTTGAATTTCTTAGGATCCTTTCACAAAATATCTTACGACTAAGACAAAATTTTCCAATTTCTCAGAAAAGTATCAAAGCTTAGTGGATCAAAAAAATTTATATTTCTATTCCATTAGAATACATTGTGAATAATTCTTTTTAAAAAAATAGACATATTTATTTAAACAACGAAATTGCAGAGTTTTTCAGATTTTGTTCATAGTCGTAAGATGTTGTATGAAAGGGATTCGCCTTAGGTGAAGTGGATTCAAGTTTATTCAAATAAAGGGAAACACCCTTCTTCGAGAGAGATGATTAAGAATGAGTGAAAATGAAAATGCATCTTTGAAAAAACTTCTCAGGTATAGTGTAGATTCAAGTTTGTTCAAATCATGTACCCTGGGCTAGGGCGGGACCACAAAAGGAAACCAAAATTTTACAAAGGAATATATAGGGAAAATTCTCACGAATAGTAAAACCATGATTATTAATATTTATATTAAAGCAAAGTAATAAGCAAAATATAACTAAGATGTAAAGAGTGGGTTTTTTAAAAAAAATTTGAGCCCTGGGGTTAGAGTCTTGCCGAAATCAAAGATCCAAATATTTTTACATAATGCACAGGAACACAGGAATATACAGGGAAAAAAGTCTTCTTTAAAACAGCAGGACCGTGTTGATATTGAAACATCTCAATCCTTGATTTACATAAGTGGTAACTCCTCTAGGTCTAGATTTTGATCCACAACATATCAAAATATATGTCAAAATATTTATGAAATTAAAGAGGGAAATCAAGTTTAGCAAAAATATGCCGAGCCAAAGTGATTCAAGTAAGTATTGTGGCCCTTGGGCCACTTTATCGTCTGGGTTCAATCCCCATGGAAATCGCAAATTTATTATTTTTTTTTATTTAAAAAAATTTTCTGTTGAAAGAATTTTCCTCACAAAAGTTTTAATGTCATACCTATTAATAATTGAAAATTGAATCTATGCAATCCAATCTAAAGGTACCGGTATTACCCACCATTTATATCCAATCATGTTCTTTACAACATTCAACTAACTTGTGTAGCTCACCTGGTGGCCCGGGTGGTCCTTGATTTCCCCTGTCCCCTTTGCTTCCCATCGGTCCGTGAATACCCTGAGATCCCTGTGCTCCCTGCTTTCCTTTAGCGCCACTTTCGCCTTTTGGTCCTCTTGGTCCTTTTGATCCATGATATCCCCTAGGTCCAGGGAATCCTCGCTCTCCCATGGGCCCTTTGTCACCATCTTTACCAGCCGGGCCAGGCAAGCCAGGTTCGCCATCGTCTCCTCGGCCACCTCTTTCACCTAAAAAGTACATTCATATGAAGTTAAAACTAGGAACGAAAAGGGGAAAAAGTACTAATTAATTTGTGAATTCCCAGACTATCTAGATTTATAATTAAATATTTGTTTTAATTTTGTTTAATTGGAATACTTAAATAATATTTTAAATAAAAAAGAGACATATTTGTCACAACTCCAGGGATACGAAGAAGGGTGGGGGTGGGGGAGATTTTGTCCTCAAGCATCACCTTCAAGGATCTCTAATTAAATTATTTGAAACTGATGGATTCTCAAACTTTAAAAGTACATGGACACTTTTGATCGTTTTGAATTAACTTTTATGTTATTAGTATTCTTTTTTAAATAAGTAGATTACTTAAACCTGATTCCAAAACATGCTTATAGAGAGAGAGAGAGTTGACGAATGCTTGCGCATTTCATATGTTAGCAGCACAGAAACCTAAAGCGGAGGTAATACAAAGATTTCTAAAAAGCAGGCCAAAACATTCAATATTTTAACATATTATAAGGTTGAAATAGTTAAAGATAAAAATTCAATTCAAGGTGAATGTACAAAGTAAAAGAAAAAAATTGAAATTTTAGATGAAACTTTTGGAGTTGAGTCACGTAACAATTGGTCATAAATGTTAACAGAAACAGGGCTTTACATACCTTGTTTTGAAAATGAAAAATCTATAATATGTATACAGAATATCTTTTTGGCAGTTCTATGATTAACATGTTATTTACATTGTAGTTGCATCTGTATTGTTTAATACACCGTTTGTATTCTAGTTTCAAATTGAATTCGATTATTCTTATACTAACAGACAATATACATGTAATTCATTCTGATTATAGCATATATATTAGGCATGTTGAGATGGCGACCATCTTAAAGGGCCCCGCTTTTAACAAAGGACATTAGGATAAAAGACCCTTTATCCTTGGACACTCTTTGAGTGAAAGTTTGATTCAGCTGGGGCCAATAAAAGAAAAATGTCCAAGAAAGGATTTTCTGAATTTGACCTTTCGTCTAGAAAATTAGTTCAAAGTCACTGCACACCCTCTACCCATTAGCACTGTATGGGTGAAGTATAAGCCCAACTGGGCCAGAGGAAGAAAAAATAGGCTCAGAACAAGGATATTACACAGAGATGTTTCTCGACCTAGACATTTGATCTTTGCTTCAAGGTCATTGCATAGCCTCTATCCACGAGCACTCTAAAGGTTTAAGCCCGGTAGGACCATTGTGAGAGAAAATATGCTCCAAACAAGAATTTTACACAAAAAAGGTTTTCTGACCTTGACCTATCGTCTAAAAAATTGGTTGAAGGTCACTGCACACCCTCTAGATAAGGAGACTCTATGGGTGAAGTATGAGCCCAACTGGGCCAATGGGATGGAAAATATAGCCTGGACAAGGATTTTACACAGATATTTTCTGACAACAATGTAGTAACTTTTCTGAATCGCCTAAACACGTGCATATCACCTTTTTTCGTCACACTATTTTTACCAAAGTCAATAGCTAGCCGTTCTCAATACAATATTCAAGCAAATTAACGTTCAAACTTTCATGCATTTATTTATCAGACATTAGGTTTGAAATTCACAATAAGTGTCACTTATTTATTAATTGACAAAACAGAAAATCGGAGGGAGAGTATACTTAAATAAATGAAGGCAAAAGTGTTATAACAAAATTTGACAGTTCTGGTCATATGCGGTCAGACTTTCTGTCAGTCTGTCCCAATTGATTTTCCGCAACCTTTTCTAAACGCTTGGAAATATTGAGCTGAGTTTTGGTATGTGAGTGTATCTTGATGAATTACAAATAAAGTTTGCATTTCGTTCCGCTTCGATAATTTTTGACGGAATTATTGCCTTTTTTAAAATTTCTAAGGGGGGCCAGATTTCCCATTTGCTTTTCCACACTTTTTTTCTAAACACTTTTAGATATTGAGCTGCTTTTGGTATGTGAGTTTACCTTGATGCTAGATCGTTTGCATTTTGCTCCACTTCTATTATTTTTGACGGAATTACTTTTTAGAGGAACCAGATTATACTTGCCGGTAGGAGACTAGTATTGCTTATGTTTGTTTGTTTTTTGTATGTTGTTTAACGTCCGTCTCGAGAATTTTTCACTCATATGGAGACGCCACCACTTGCCGGTGGAGAGCTGCAAATTTTGTCCTATACTCGGCACTTACGGCCATTGAGCAGTGAGGGATCTTTTTCATGCCAGCACCTACTGCGACACGGGACCTCGGTTTATACGGTCTCATCCGAAGGACCGGTCTCCACGAACCCGCAACGTAAGGATCAACTCCTTACGCCGCGACTTTAGAGCAGACGGATCATCAGATCAAACGAGACGCGAATTTTTTTAAACATGGTATTTCTTGTCTGAAAGTGTCAGAATGTTTATCATGTTTATTGAAACAACTTTTTAAGTGTATTTAATTAAAAGTAAATTCATTTTTTTAAAAAGTTTTTTTTTTACAATCTGGAAAACAAGCCCCTATGCTCACAATGCTTGTTGAAAGATATTTCTTCAGAAAACACTTGTTACGCCATTTGTTTCCTTTTAAAAACAACATATTATTTTTCAAGAGAAAAAACATATTATAAAATGTATGAACATTACATGTAAATGCTACAATGTACATGTGTACATTCATGTATAAAAACTTTTTGTAATGTAAATGTAGTTGAAATCAAAACCTTTTTAGACATGTTTCTAATGAAAAATTGATAAAACAAAATCTACAATAATTCTATTATTCTTTAATTATTATCTTTTTATATTTTTAATCCATTGTAAAAATTACTAAATATGATGGCGTCATTCGAGCACGGACTTATCATACAGAATTTACTTGGTATAAAACCTAATATCATGGACTATGTTGTCACCTCTTCGAAGAAAATAAAGGAAAAACAAACTTACCTGGCTGTCCATGAGGGCCTCTTGGGGCAAACTGAACGACTACATATCTCTTATGGCGGTCATGATCAGCTGAAAGGTACAAGTAAACTATATAGGATTAAAGCTTACAAAGACATTACTCTGCATTATTATGACAATATATGACACTTTGCGATTTGTGTACTAGTGTTTTCCCTCTCGAAATTCCTATAATCTTGAAATATATATATATATATATATATATATATATATATATATATATATATATATATTAAAATCGGTCTAAAAAAAAAAAAAGCATTTCTCTGTGGACATTATATCTGCCTAGATTCCATGTAGTATGGAAAATGAAATAACAATTGTTGTATTTACTTACGGGCAATTTCATGTAAGTCTTCCTCTTGGATCACCATTAAACGTATTTTTTCCTGCAGCGCTAAAATTTCAGATTTAACTAATTCCATATCGTCCGAAAGTTTTTTAATTTCATACTGAATATCAGCTAATACGGAAACAGTACCGAGGACCAGGAAGGTAATGTAAGTTTTCATGGTGCCGAGGACAACAAAGATGTGAAGGAAGCTACAGAGCCTAGAGAACATAAATAATCGGTAAATAGCAATAAAATTATTTCTAATTCAACATCTGCCTATTTGCTTTGAAGTCAATTGAATAGTTATCTGGTTCTGACTTTTTGGTCAATTGCTTAATCATCCTTATATTACAAATTACACTTTGAGAGATCCCAACTTAAAGTGCAAGATTCTTGTATAGTTTTTCCCATGGAATCATGGAGTCTGATTCAAGAGATACGTGAGTAGAAACATCTCAGCCACAAAGTGGTCACCGGAGTACTAGATACCTTACCGAAATTAAAAAAAAACCTGTTCAACATTCATTGTTAGGACTATTAAGATAGTTTAATTTAGAATATATCCATTACCTAAATTTTATCAATTTCGAGTGACAGATGAGAGAATGTGGAGGTAAATGAAAATAATAAGTCCCACTACGCTGGAAAAGTACTGCCAATTAATTTAAATACTAGTTGTTTATAATGATGATGGTACATGTAGTACTTGTAATATCTAAAAGGTACTTGCAGCAAATCAAGCTGCTTACGGGCACCATAAAACATTTCTATTTGCATAATTATTTTAATGGTACATGTGTATTTTCCTCATTACTGATAAACAAATCAGTCCTTTCAAATGTTTCCAGCAACAATCATCTCGTAAAACTAGCGTCTTCTTAAAAATTCTAAAATTGATATACTAAGTATCAGGAAAGTCAGTTAAGTCATGCATATTGCAGGATTTAATTTAATGAAACAAAATATCAGAAAGGATATATATATATATATATATATATATATATATATATATATATATATATATATATATATATATATATATATATATATATTTCAAGATGAATGCCTTGAAAGAAAAAAATGATAAAGAATGCATTCAAGCAAATTGTTTGTGTCAATGCTCATAGTATCAAAGACCGTTAATTTTTATCATTGTTGAAAGTTGGTATATTTGTAATCAATCAATAAAATGAAAAAAAAAATCAAAAAATAGATCTTATCTTCTGATATATTAGGATTGTATCAATAGGCAACTTTATGTCCAAGTTATGTGTTGCAAATGGATTTTCTGGGATTTAAATATCAAAAATTGTTTTAATATAGAAAATATGATAAAACTATAATGGCTTTATCAGAATTCAAAGTTTGCAGCAGCCTTTCATAACACTGACGAAGGAATCCTTCTTTATCTCGAATTAGCCCCCACCCCCACCCACCCCCAAAAATATAAATAATTAAACGTAATAGGAAGAGTAATTAATCTCTCTCTCTCTCTCTCTCAGATCAGGATTGGGTTTAGCTTAAACTCTGCCAGGCTCATGTAATGTAGTCTTTGATTTAACACACTCCTTGACGAAAATACAATAAAGTACTCAAAACGAACCCCAGTATGTCAAAAAGTAGTGTTTTGCGACAGTGCATAAATCGAAGGTGAGAAAGACTTATGAGGGTTGTCCGTAAAGTTCGTATACAAATGCTATAATTTTCCTACTAATTATTACACTGTTAAAGGTATACGATTTTATTTTGATATAGACCATGAATTAGTGTGTACAATGTAAAAAAAATTAAAACAATACACACTGTTTTACGAAAGTTATAGGTGTAAATAAATTGTATATGGAAGCCGTACGGCCCAGTCTGACTTTAAACTAGTTTCATGACAACGTCAAATATATGGATTTTGAATTTTTATCAATATTCGTGGACACACGCTATTTTTCTTAATTATGCCACACTGCTGAGTGTGTGCGATAATATTTACATATAGACCATTATTGAGTAAATTTTTAAAATTCAAAACAATATTCGATAATTTACGAGCGTCGTCAGAATAAACACTTTGTACAGGCTGCACAGTCCAGTCAGACATCGTGCTAGATTTATAATAACACCATGAATGGGGATATCATATTTTCATCAAATATCAGTAGTTTTCCACTTCTTGTAGTGTTTCTAAAATTGTACACACCGTTGAAAAAATGTATATACCAATTTCAAATTAATGAACTAAATATATTCCAATGGTTTGAATAATTAGTCTTGTACGTCGTTTCAACCATCTTATGATTAGATGTTGCCGCGGCTGCGGTTGGATGGCCGACGTCGCTTTTTCTGTCAATTTTTGAATCATATTTCTTTTGATTTTTTCTTTGCCGCTTTATTTGAGACACATTTAATTTTTATAAGTTTTGGCTTGTTTTATGAAGAAAATAATTTTAATAAGAAAACTTTATTTCAAAGTTTATGACATTTTAAACCCTGGGCCTTGCGCACAATCTGCGACCTTTAAAGACAGCGATTTTTACGAAAAAATATAAGTTCAAACAATCAAAACCAAACCGACTTGGATTTTCGTAACACATATTTTGGTATATAATAAGTATATCTAGGACCACTCAGTTTGACAAAAACGTCATTGTCCACAAACTTTATGGACGACCCTCGAACTTGTAAAAATATTAAGTCGTTAATGAAATAAAATGTCTTGAAATGCAATGAAATGTCTTGAATTTTTTTGTACCCTCGATGTCATTATTTCGGTTTGGATTTTTTTTTTGTTTAAGCTTCTATTATTTTTCTAGTGTATCTAAAAGAAATCATTCGATTATGTAAATTTTTAAAAATATTTAAAAAAAAAAAAAAAGAAAAGAAAAAGGCACACTAAATCTTTTGGTTTTGTAATGTTTGAATATAATTTTATTTTCTTTATATCTCATAAATGCAGGCATGTGTGCACTTGCTTCTAAGTGCACTTTCCGTTTGTTTTCCACAGAGGTTTCGAAGCAGTTGATCCCTAGAAATAGTTTAAATGCATTATATGTACAGATTAAATTAAATGAGCAACTAGATCCAGTCCCGTTTTACTAAAGAACTAACGACTAAGACCCAGGCGCTAAGACTGTTTTAAAACATTGCCATCTTCATAAGCTGCAGGGAAAAAGGCTTCCTTGTAGACCAAATTTGGCAAATTTACTGGGATTTCTGTGATACAAATAAAGTTTATGCTATAGAAAATAGAGTTAACAAAACGTCCGACTTCGGTCTAAAACGTCAGGATGAAGTTATTATTTCAAGAATACGTATTGGCCATTCAAAAATTACCCATGCGTACTTGCTTAACCATGAAATTCAACCAGAATGTATATCATGTGACTGTCCGTTAACTGTAAGTCATATTCTCTTAGAGTGTTCTGATTTTTTCACATAATCAAAGAGGTCTTTTTAATAATGTTCAAACGATGCAAGAATAATTTAGAAATATTATTGTTTAAACAATCTTAGATTATTTACGTGAAACTGATTATTATAGTGAAATTAAGAGATGTTTAAAACTTGTTGTAAAGATTTTGAACAATGTATATTTTAACTCTACAGATTTTTAACTTTTAAGTCCGTCAGATGGGACATCAAATGGTGCCCTGTGTCAAGGATTGCAACCCCCTTGGCACGCAAAAGATCGTTTCTCTGGTTTTCGAAAAAAGAGCAGGCTCACTGGGGGCCGCAAGAGAAATTAACACTTCTCAAAACCGATCATACAGATTCTCTGCCGAAATATGGCTGAAATATTGCCGACTCTGCGTCAAACAGTAATAAATCAATCAATCAATCTAATATTTCACATTCAAATCAGAGAAAAGATTGATTCAAATGCCAATAGTAGATAAGTCAAATTTTCTTTAATCGGAACCAAGTTTAAATAAATTGAGATACTCAGCAAAAAAAAAATAAAAATATGTCTGTTATCTTGAGTTCAACATTTACTTTAGAGGTATTTCTTAGAACAAGAATAATCCAGAACTGTTCTCTTCAGACTTGTTATTTCGTTCGAGCTTCCAAACGATTTGGGTCCATGAAAAAAAAAAGAATTTGTTGAGTACTAGCAAATATCAGTGACATCTATGTCTAACAACACATGTGCATACCTCTGAAAATGATTGTCTTATTTCATAAAAAGATCACCGATTAAGTAGTTTTTCAGCCAATCAATCTCTTGTTGAAGTTTGAAAGTTTGTTCAATTGCTGGTACATGTACTAACCATTCTATCACTCTATTGGTGATTAAATAAATAAAATAAATATAACAAATAATGTTTTTAATGTTTTTTATTTAACTTTTTCTCACACTTTTTTGGTACCTCGCCACAATCATAGCTCACATAACCCACAGACCGGGCTAGCCCAAGCACATCTAATTAAACTAATAAATTAAATGCCAAAAAATAACAAGCATGGATGGAATTTTTTATAAAGCTAATTTGGAATTTTCATATTCTAACGCTATTTATCCCTTGTAATTTCTTCGGGCCTGTGCTTGTGCTTGTGCGTATGCCCTAGATGCGGCTTGTGCATAATAAGACGTGTCCTTTACTGCAGCTGCCGCAGCAAATTGTGCAGGCCCGGGCAAGCCTGGTCGCCCTGTGGCTCCCTGGGGTCCGCGTTCTCCCTTCTCTCCTGGAACTCCTGGTGCACCTTGAGAGCCTTGGTATCCTTGAGGTCCACGTGGTCCCATTGGTCCATCTGGTCCTTGTGGTCCGGGCTCACCTGCAGGACCTTGTGGTCCGGGCTCACCTGGCATTCCTGGATATCCAACGTCTCCTGTAAATTATAAAGAAACATACAATTTATAAGCGATATAATTTATCGAGAAATACTATATGTGATACCACTTCTTAACATGAACTTTCCAATATTTCTTTAAAAAAGTAGTTTTATTCTTTTATTATCTATCTATATAGTTTGATTTTTAGCTCCTGATTTTTAGCACCTCAGCAATTTAAAACTCAAATCCCTTTCTTCTCTCTCTTTCTTTCAGCTATTACCTTTTTCTCCTTGTGGTCCCATAGGTCCCATTGGTCCCGGTAACCCTGGCTCTCCCTTATCTCCTGGAAGACCCTGCTCTCCGGGAGCGCCAGGCTCCCCTACTGGTCCTTCATATCCTTTAAGACCTTGAGGTCCCTGTGGTCCTGGGGCTCCTGGAACACCTGGGGCTCCGGTTTCTCCTGGAGCACCTTGGTCACCCTGAGGTCCTTGCATTCCTGGTGCGCCTTCTTCTCCAGGAACTCCGGGAGGACCAGTATCTCCCTTAAATCCTGGATATCCCTGTTTACCCTGAGGTCCGGGGGCACCTGGGGCGCCTGGTTCTCCCTTTGGACCTGATAATAAATTACAAGTTATCAATGCAGTCCTTTAGATTTATAAATATTGTTCCGAGTCTGTTTTTTATGTACCAAAATTTTGAATCCCTTTTTCTTGTTTTAAAATTTTCTTGTATCTTCTTTGGATTTAAGTACTACAACTATATAAAAACTATCTAGATAATTTTGTTTCTTTACCTGGGGCGCCCATAGGTCCAACAGGTCCTCTTAAGAAGTAGGAACCAGCTCGTTTTCCTCTGCTGTGTGGAGCTGCTGTAAAAATGTAAAGGAATGACATTAGCATTTTATTTCATTTTAATTCAGAATAAATATTTAAAAATGTGACCATGCATTTACTAGTATTGAAATGCTTTCTAGAAATCTTTAAATTGATAACAATGCAAACGGAGCAAAACCTGCTTTCATCTGATATGCAAGAACAGATTATATATTTATATACTAATCAAATCAGAATAAAACATTTTCTGTATAGTTTGAATACTAGTATATGTAATGTGTGTAAAAAAGGGGACGGGAGTCGCATCTTTAGTTTCTTTTATAAATAATTTACAAAGTCAAAGCTATTTGTTTAAATAGACCAATAAATAAATGAATGAATAAATAAAAACAATAACATACAGTGATTCTGTCAAAGGACTATATTCGGGAATGACCAATATTTGCCCCCAAAACCAAACTTTGATTGAGAAACATATAATTATGTTCGAAAACAGGGGAATATATGCAAACTTCAAAGCATTAAATATTTTCATCAGCCATGACGTCATATGTTAGGTATAACTTCAGAAAAATGACGTAAATCTAAAGTTCCCATGATTTATAGAGAAAAAGGTACATTTACATCGATATTTTGAGTAAAAGTCACAGAGCGCAACTCAGCTCCAACTCAATGTTTTGATATATTGTGTAGAATGATAATATCAATGAAATTTGTGAATATTGTTATGGAGCAGGGATGCGCTCTATAAATTATATATTAAAAATTGAACAAATTTTGTCTATTTTGTCCTCTTTTGGAAAAATGACAAAAATTCAAATAGTTTGTGACGTCATTGAAATAAAAATTGCCAATATCCTACTTCAAATCTATAATATTTTTTGTTCATTAAGATTTTTCAGACAATATACAATTTAGCACATTGCAAGAAATTTTCGAAATTTGATTTCTGTGCGGCCAAAAATATGCATATACCGCATATAGCTCTTTATTCAAAATTGCAAATGATTGCAATTATTTTCTCTTTTCATACTAAAAGTTACGTCTACTTAAGTAATTCACGTACTTATTATGAATAAGCTACTTTTTTCTTCGTGTAATGTTACCAGCTAACCTGGCATTGATTTCATTTTTATAAAAGTGAACATATTTAAATAGAAAACAACTCACTGTGCTCGACCTCCACGATCTCACTCTGAAGGTTGCTGAGTATCTCCTTCATGGATTCCAACTCGGTCCTGAGTTTGCCTAGCTCTGTTGTACAGTCGCTATTGGGTTTGCCGTACACGGCAGCCCACCCCAAAACGCACAGCAGCACACAAGTACGCATGATGATTAAAGTTCACAGCTGAGTCTGAGACTGACTGGGGCTCACAACTCCCTGCTTTATAAACCCCCGGCCAGCACACAAAGGCCCCGGTGTCGGCAAAAAGTAAATGAGCCTTTACAAATGTTGAATTTCTTGGGTCTATTCTCTTGATTAACGAGGGGCACTTTTGGGAGGTTCTTTTGAGAAAAAAGAATTAGCATCTTGGCTAACCTGGACAACACTAAATGAAGAACTACTTGTTCTTTTTGTGCAAACTTAGCATATTAATCGTCTTTTGAGTTATGAATTCTTTAAAAATGTGATCCTTTAATTAAGTGTCTAGATCTTGGTTTTATGATTTGAACGAACAGTTTGCTCTCGTGATATTTGCATAAACGTCGAAGGCGTTTATGCATAAATTTATCACGTGAGCAAACTGTTTGATCATCATCATAAAACCAAAAATCCAGACAGTTATTTTTTATATTCACATTTTATCTCATTCTTATCCTTGATTCACAAAAAAAGAGATATTTACGTTATTTAAATTCAATATCTGCAAGCTTTGCCCAGTATATTACTAAGCCACATACAGCGAGAAGGTAGTTCTGTCACGTGATGAGCAAATGGCTTCATGAAGATATAAAAGTGATTTCCTTATTTGTAATTTATCTCGAACATTAGTAAATGTAAATATTAAAGGATATCATTAGTTATCAATTTTGAGGTATGATGGGTCTAAACGTCGTAGAACATTGTGATAGTTTATGTTTGATACGAAAGATAGAACCTTAGTTGATGTCCAGAGAACAGTTTGTCCGGCTAAATGAAGAGTGCAGGTGTCGAACTTTAGAAGAAAGACCAACAAGGCAAATGAATACGAAGGAATATCACATCATAGAAAGCTACAGATTTCAGGACATTTTCCAGCAGAATTCGAAACAAATAGGAAATAAGTAATGAATTTCGTTATATTTTTGAATGCAGTGATGAAAAAAAGAAGGTGCCTAATGTACAATTTATTTTCCAAAACATTTAAATATCTATCCATATATTAACAATATCGAATCATTATTAAGATTAATATTTTTTTTTTAGAAATATATATTTTTGATAAAATTTACAACAAGTCTCAAGCTTGTAATCGGACTAATATATGCTTATATACTACATCATTGAGTATATCGTAAAAGTTGTACAACTCAATTCACTATTATGTATCGGTTACAGAATATAAACTCTGCATTGTCATTTGATTGTGTTGTACTTTTTGTTGCATAAGGTATGGCATTATATTGTCTTAATGCAATAACATGTAACAATAATAACTCACTTCACGAACTTCGAACGGAGTTTCAGGTGAGCATTGTTATCCATGAACATTTTGGTTTTACAAGACGTTTCACTATTGTATAGTTTAAAGGATTTCTAAGATGAATCACTGTTCGTTCTCTTCACATATTGCTTTAAATTCTTGATTGAACTTAAAAACCAAGTGAAATTATCTTTATATGACCGTGGAACCATATTTTGATCTCGAAGATAATATTCACAAATAACAGATCAAAAAATCTAGGAATTTTACATTGAATGTCCAGCTTAACTGAACTTAAAATATTGTTATATCATTACATCTCATTGTCATTGCATTGATGATGAATGTATGAACATGTCTGGTCATCTAAAACTGAACATTTTAATGTTACTGAATTTTTATGTATGACTCAATGCATATATACTTAAAACAATGTAAACTATGTACATACATAAGTAGATAATTGTACCATGGTTCACAATCATAGAGCATGTAAATATTGTTAATGTTCTAAATATATGGAAAGTTACACGTTAGCATAAAACCAAAGGAAATACCGTTACATAAGGATAAATGCAATCTTTCGTTTTATTGACATGTCTAAAAGAGTTTAGAAAGATAACGTTTCATCCTTGTGCTAAAGATAAAAGTGAAATCCCGGAATTTACAATTACCTTATCACAAGCTAGAAAAAGAAATCGGATTCATTTAATTACAAGTCTGAGTCTGGTCACGGATAATCCACAATTTCCCGCACACGTGTCATTAGGTAACCTAAAAAAAACCCTCCCTTTTCAAAAAGCAGATTTATTTTCTTTCTCTTCAATTTTTTATTTACAAATCATTAGGTAAAGTTAGGATCAAGACTCTCGTATATATGTCTGTAACAAATTGATAACTCAAGTATATGAATGTATCAATATCCCACCCTTTCAATATTTGTAATTGACCACCACTTTCGAATTCGGTGCCATGCATGGACCTGATTGTAATATATGCAAATAATTTTAAGAAAGTCAAAATTTATTATTTGCAAATAATAAAGCGATGGACTTTTTTTTCTTTTGCTTGTTTTCTTTTCTCTTTAATTTTTTTTTTCATTTCCATTCTTACATGTAACCCTGCAATTTCAAAATCCCTTCATGATGACATACAGGTATGTCACGATCGTCTATACATGGAATATATTTTAATCAACTGTTATAGAATTCATTACATCGATAAGATTTCTCATACGTCTGATTTTTTTTAAATCTGTGATCTACATAATGATACATTGGATATGACCTTGATTCAAGGACAAAACATACCGGAAAAAACATAATTATATATGTACCATAGATTTATTTCCAATCCATTGCAACTTTTTTTTTTCAAACGTATAAATTTCCTTAAAAATCAAAGGACGCGAACATATTTAATTGGTGGATGTGCTTCAAAAATGATAATAATTTTCCTCATCTTAATAACGTGTGTCATTTCCTGGTTGTGAAGTATAAACGGTTATACAGTCTGACACAGCCGTACAAAGCTCTAATAAAGTTCCCCAAGTTTGGACATGGAGGATCTGCAGCAAATCTGGTATTGAAATCCTTAAATATATTTTTAAATAAAACAAATATATATCAGAATGTCAAATAATACATTTTATGTTTCAGCAGCACAGAGGATGCGTCAAGCCATAAATCACGACAAAAGGTAACTTTTTCCCTCATTTAAATGAAATTCAAAACCTATAACAGGTATACATTGATTGATGTAGAATTCATATTGTTGTTCAAAGTACAATGTATTACATACATGTACATGCATGTTTATAGATTAAAAAAATATTATGGTAATATCATGCAAACTGTAGCTCTTTTAAAAACTTCTCTTGATAAATGATACATCAATTTACACTCAATTTGGCCTGACGAGGTTATACGTTAACTGGAGCATGCACCCTGCTTCAGTAACGATAAAAGTTTCTTGATTAACCTCTCACATAAAATATTATCTGGTTTCTTTTTTCCAATTTTTTTTTAGTTTCAAAAGATATATTAAATAAGATAAATTAATCACTATGAAAATGGCCCAACAGCATTAAAAAAAATAAAGGTTAAACACATGAAAAGATTCTAGTTTTAACAGTTTAACCATCATCTCAATTAAACATATTGGCCGTCTATCAGTCAGGTTGCACTAGTATCATAACTTAATAGGAATATTATAGTTGCTTATTATGCTCTTGTGCTGGCTTCCACAAGGAAAAGTATGTTACTTGGATAACCTTACTGGCCATATTATTCGTAAATATTTTTTATATAGAATTAATTTCAAAATTAGAAATTCGAAATAAAATTATCACACACACCCTATAATATTTCTTTGTTTGTTTTTAATTTTATTATGAATTGCTTTGTTTTTATACCATTGACTACCAATTACTTCACTAATCGGTTGGGATCAATACAGAAGTGTCAGGCGCGGATCCAGGAATTGAAGTTAGAGGGGGCGCAAAAGTAGGCAGGGGGTCGGGGGGGGGCCGCTTTGAGGCCCCCAGTGGGTGCAGGGCGAAGCCCTGGTGGGGGTCCAGGGGGCGAAGCTCCCGGAAGCTCCTGGATTCTAGAGATTTTGTAGGGTAAAAATGAAGTCTCCCGAGTTGACATTTTTACATTTTCTCTACGAAACTAGGAGTTACGCCAACTTTGACAATTTTAGGGGGTTGGGGCGGGTGCGCCCCCCTTAAATCCGCCACTGGGTGTGACCGGTCGACAGGAGATCTTTACTCCTCCTAGGCACCTGATCCTAACTCCGATGTTTCCAGGGGTCTGTGTTTCTGTTCACGTGTCGCATTCTTTTCTGAATTTATGAGATTGTTCACTGTTTGTTACCTTGACATTTTACATTGTATATTCTGAACTCTTTTTCTTATAGATCTAGCAGTGATAGAATTGTTGTATGAAGACAACAAAATGGACTATCAAAATATTATATAATACAGGATGCAATCATTTGTAACCAACTCATGAAAAGAGCTTTTATGTAATAAAATGTCGACGTGTGAATAAAACATCCTCTATAACCACTCGTCAGTATCACGAAAAGGAAAACCTGACTTTTTTTAAAAAATTGGGAATGAGTAGCTTGCGTACTTATATACTTGATAAACACTGAGATCTAGGCATTATTTGAAAGCCATCTTTAATTTCTAAAAATCATGAAAATACATACATACCGAATCAGTGTTCATATAAAGGAAATTTACTCTCGGAAAGATTTTGATTTTTTCACGACTTCTCAATAATTTTGGATTGAGTGATTTAAAGACATATAAAGGAGAACAACAAAAAAGTGATAATTTTGAACAACATAGAAAATCCATAAGAACCTTTTCAAAAGAAATTTGATATTTGCATCAATAATAACCAAATTTATATATATATATATATATATATATATATATATATATATATATATATATATATATATATATATATATATATATATATATATATAATTTAATTTAATTCTGATTGTAACACGCCATTTGATTGGATAAAAAAAATTACTTTATATTGTATAAATTGGGTTGCCTACGTCACAATGACTTGCGTCAAAAAAAGTATCGATCCGCCTGACGTTACATTTAAATTTTGCACAATTGGAAGTCATTTTTAAAGGGCAATCATCTTTTTTCTTAAATTAAATGAATGAAAATTAAATTATAAGGAATGAAAATAATAGCTACCCAATTTATACGGTATAAAGTGGGTTGGAACAGTTTACGCTTTTTCATAAACCGCTTCGCGGTTTATAAAGCGTAAACTGCCCCAACCCACTTTATACCGTACAGTGTACAAATTGGGTAGCTATTAAATTCATTCCTTAAATATATACACCAAACCATGAATCCATTTTTTGTGTTTTTAATATGTGTCATTAAAATCTTATCGACAAAAGTTTGTAAAGTTGTAAAATAACAGACAAACCAGATTCATTATTAAACGTGTCTCCTAATTCAAACGGAAACATTTTTGTTTGCTGAATCAATTATTTCTTTAAAAATACACGACATATTGTAAAGATGGTATGAACATTTAGGACTGATTTGTAAAGATAGTATGAATATTTAGGACTGATTTACTATTGTAAAGATAGTATAAATATTTAGGAATGATTTACGTGTTTATCTCAAATGAAAAACAAAATTTTGCTTCAGAGCAACTTTAAGAATGAGCTGAAAATGCATTTCATGCATTTGCTTTCAAAACAAGGTTTTCCTGGAAATAATCTTTCAGTCCATTTTCATCTATATCAGTTTATGACTTCACCAGTTATATCAGTTATGACATAAGAGCTGAAATATGGGTCAAGATTATAAATTATATATTGAAACTACAGAATGCTTTCCATTGGAAAACACACAATTAATTAAACTCACAACACTTTTTATCGTAAGATTTAGCATTAATTAAATTATTTCCTGACGCCACGAATGTCAGGCAGGTTAAGAATAAAAATAATAAAAATTTTTAATGGTGCGAAATTAAACGTTGAAAGATAGCCAGTTAAATTTTGTGCAAGCAGATTTATATCAGAATTTGGTACTTGCGTTTTTAACAACAGTCAGCAAAAGAAACAATCGTATTCAGTGGCGTATATTCCTTTCTGCTGATGTGTAGCTAGTGTGAAGTCACAGATTTAACCTGATGCGCAAAGTGTGGGTAGGCAAGGAACCCCCTCTCGATAGGTATTGGGGGGGGGGGTTCAAAGGGAGCATTTTTGCAAACTCGAAGACATCTACGATTGTGCTTTGACCAGTGAAAATGATATTGTAATCATCTTTTCAGTTAATATCATGATATGAAGATCACTTAAAAAATTGAGAACTCTTAACTTATCTTTTACGCTGCTTAGAAAATATATGGAAACTTCCTTACTTCAATACGTTTAACTTCCTACTAACCAAAAATATTTCCAGTTATCAATTTCATTTCCTGAACTAGTACTCATCCTGTTGTGTATAACAAATCTTGAATCAGGATCATACCTAAATTAATGAGGTCATTAATGAATAAGTGACCATATCTTTAAATCCCCTGATTAGATTTCATTGAGGCTTGAGTATATCGTTGATGATTATTGAAAGTTATTTCAGTTCTAAAAGGTAAAAGTCACTGGACAACGAAATGGTAAAATAGTGCCTAGACTTTGACATTCGGAGCTTTGATTTTAATGCATTAAAACTTACTGAATCATACGTTGCTGAAGTTCCAGTCAATTAAGGTGACTCAAATTAAGGTCACTTGTCAAGGTCATATTGTTAAGGGTATAATCAGAGAAGGAGAGCGACATATGACCTGAAGTGAAAAAGTATTATATAAATATTTTTTTTAATTTTGCAATCAACTTCAGGCATGTAGTATCAAAGAACCGGGGGAGGATGGGTGGGTGAGGGCCCTGCTCCATTTTTTTTGAAACATGACGTTACTGTTGAAAATGTTGATTGAAATGCTGGTCCCCCTCACTTTAAGTTGCGATATAGTTAAATGATGGTGATGTGGTAATGTATCAATTAATTAAATTTGGTTGGGAAAAATGTTCAGAAACCTCCCCCCTCCACCACCCCACGAAATAGGATCTTGGAGATTGGACAATTGACCTTTTTATTTGCTTGTCAAAGTTTTTTTTTTCAAGTAAGCTGTCAAATATTTTTTGGCCCCCCTTTCAAAACCTACATGCCTAAAATTGACTATTTATATTTTGTCTAGGCAATGAATAGAAAGATAATTGGATTGGTGACAGCTGTTGTCTTAGTAATTGTACTTGCTCTTGCCATATCTATTCCTCTTACACTGAGAAAGGAGAATCAGGTGACAAACAATCCCAGTCCTCTTTGTAAGTTTTTTTTTTGTCATTATTACTTTAAATCTCAATTATTAATTGAGACATTTCTACATCTTATAATTATATACATTGTAGATCTAATAATCAGGCTGAAATATCATTCTTGAAATTTACCAAAATTGAAAGATATCGTTCAAAGTCTACATTTTTCACTGAATTGATCACAATTACACAAGGTTTCTTCTTTAACTGAATGCATTACATGTACATTAAATATTAAATAACACATGCTAAGAGTTAAGTTCAAACGAAAGGCAAACAAGATACGACAAATACTTCAATGAAGGAATGTTTGGAATATGGTATAGAAATATGCGTAGCATAATTTTAAAATATACTGTATTTTCTCTAACCTAAACTCACGGCATAAGATTGAGTGATGTTAAAAGATCTCTCCTTTTAATTTCAGCATCATGTCCTTTTGGCTACTCAGGTCAATTTTGCGACGAACCAGTTTGTACATCTATGTGCCACCACGGAGACTGTGTGCGCCCAGACACGTGCAACTGCGATCCTGGTTGGACAGGCAGCGCATGCGACCAGGCAATCTGTGAAATGTCCTGCAGTCCGCATGGTAACTGCACATCCCCAAATACATGTACATGTGAGAATGGTTGGCAAGGAATGACATGTGAGATGCCCTTCGCTCCCGGATTTAATCCCACCATGAGATATATCTACAATATATCAATATCCAATACAATGGAAAGTGACATTATGATGAATACTGATTCCTACACTAATGGTGCTGATGTTCGACAATTTTTTTCCAATGTGAACGTAACATTTTCCGTTTCTACTATCAAAAAACAGAGTAATCACTCTATTGGAATACTAAAGATTTTGAATGCAACTTGCCATTCAGATTTTGGAAACCAAACAACAGATTTTAAAAATGCTACATGCGACCAGGAATCTGCAAAGAATTTATTGGGCACTAAAATTATGTTTTCTCAGGATACAATGACTGGAAAAATCATGAATGTTTACTACAATTCTTCCACCGAAGCCCAGGCAAACTTTATAGCACGTTTACTTCGCTTCATAGACTGTAAAACAGCGCCATCAAACGTGGATAAGATGGAAGAGACATCAACTATTGATGGAAAGGAAATATATTTGATTCGCCATCGATTAAAATCTGAAACTGGCATGCAGTGCTTTAATTTTAAAAGAGAAGTAAAAAATGAAGAGAACATGATTACCGACCGAGAGGAGAAGGAAGTATGTATGGGAGAGACTGGGGCCCCTCAAATTATCACCATGTCAGAGTTTTTTGAAATAGGTAAAAATATGAATGTGATCGACTCTTTAAACGATGATGAGACGAATCTGTCGCCTTTGCCATCTTTCAAAGGGCGTGTATTTGCAGTCGGATCTCTCGTCTCCATGAAGAGAATGGCTGAAGATGATATAGAAGATGAACTAGAAAATGTACATGTAGCTTTAGCATTTAATAACATCAAGTCTTCTCCAATCGACGAGTTCGCTTTCAGGAGGATTTTCACCGAGGAAGAATACAAACACAGTAATGCACATCAGGATATCGGTAACCTCCTACGTCACCCATTCCCAAATCTTCGACTGTCACTTGGTCTTGATTTGGTAAGAAAAAGCAAATCTGCCATTTCCATCATTGGAAAGATGATTTTCTCACAAAGTATTGCAGACATAGAGTCGAGATCACTTCTCTTGGCGCTTCTTGGACCATCGCAAACTTTGTCGGGACAGAAAATCCTGATGCAAATTTTAGATGCCGAGGAGAAGGTGAAGGGTGACCATTATCTTGCCTTAGGTTCTGTGGCTCAATTGTTAAAGCCCTCTGAAGATATGGTTTCAATACTGAGTAAGCTTCTGAGTAATACTCTGGACGAAGATGTTAAAACTCGGGCTGCTTTAGTTCTCGGAGTACTAGGAAGCAGAGGACTGGACCATAAAGTTGTTCCTATCCTAACTGAAACACTGTTCAAGAACAATGTACCTCACGACGATATATGTTTATTTATATCAGCTTTAGGGAATACTCACTCAGAAAAAGCGACACAGTCTTTGTCAAAGATTTTAGAGAGCAAGGAAACATTTTATAAAATCCTATGTATTAGAGCTCTGAAAAATATCCCAGGGAAAAAAAGTTACAAGCTTGTTTTAGATGAACTTTTAAAAACGAGAAATAAGACAGTAGCTCTTCAATGTTTAAAGACGCTAAAATATACAGGAAAGTGGATCAATCAGAATGACGCAAATTCCATTCTACAGATAGCTTACGACACAAAAGATGTAGGAATACTCTTTGCCATAAAACAGTTGTTTCTTGAGTTACAAGGTATTTGTACAGAGAAACAAAAGCATGATTTTCACGCCAAATCGATGAAAATAAACGGAATTATTGCAAAACTTCAGAACCTTGAAGTAAAAGATTTTGAGGTAAAACGAGAGTCTCAGAATTTTGGCGTTTACTTTAATATGTCGGTAGATTCTCAAATACGTGGCTCTGAATTTGATTTCAATGCCAATTCAAACCTTGACCTAAAGGTGTTTGGTAAACGTATAAATGTTTTGGAAGCAGGATCCGCTAACTCGCTGGTTGACTCAGGTATGTTTATGTCTTCGGTTTTTATGACCTTGAAATTGTTTGGACGAGAGTATGACTTATTCATGCAATCTTGGCGATTTGAGCTAAATTTAGGTATCACAGACGGAAATCCATGCAAGGCAAATAACGGTGTTATCAGACATACCCTATCTGAACATTTTCAGTTCGGAGACTTTACTTTTACGTATGGTGTATTTGGAATAGCCTCGGTCAATTTAAAAGTGGGACTCAGTGGACCTGTTTCTTTTGGATATGGATTCAATATTATAGGAAATGATGGTGACATGGTACCACAACAAGTGAATGTTGTTGCAAAGCCTGAGGCAAACTTGACCACGACTGTGGCTGCCTCTGTCGGTGCCGCTTTAGTACGAGTTGGGGTAAGAGGAGACATTGCTGTTCTGACAGGAAGTGTTCAAACTAACGTTGCTCTAAATTTACAACAACGAAGCTTCTGTCATTTTGTAGGTGTCAATGCGCACGTATTACAAGGTACTTTGTACATTTTCGGCCAAACTGGTTTCTCTTTTTTTAAAAGAAGTTTTGAAAGGAAACTTTTTGATTGGGCTGGGGTAAATATATCAAGAACTGTAACGGAATCATTCTGTTGCTCAAATGCTTTTCAGTCTACTAGTGAAACACCAATTCAGAGACTGTACCCTTTTCTTACAAATGTTAGTGGAGTATCATACAAAAAGAACATGTCTGAAACTCTATCAGTACTCACTTCAATAAACACATGTTTAGATTCAGTAAAAAGAAACGGTTGCCCAACAGGCCTGATACAAGCTTTAAGGAATAAAGGACTTCATATTTTTGATCGTTCATTGAAGGAAAGTTACGTTTTGACCACGAGGCATGTAATACCAATGTTTATTACTTATAGTGGTGATTATTACGGTTTAGATAAAACAGGTAATTTGGTTCAGGTAAATGAGTATGGGAATGTGAAAAAGGTTAAGGTATCGCTTATAAATCTGTTAGCTAGTTTGGGTTACGGTCGAGAAATAAAACAGATTTATGGAAGTATGATAAAGAAACAAGGTTTACTCCAACAGCAGCCAAAATTGTCTCTAATTAAATCCACTTCTAACGTACTGGATCTCAGACCATATTGCCCTAAAATGATGGCGATTTGTGAGAACATAAAAATGGGGAAAATGTATCATGGTGACACATTGACATTTACGGAAAACAAAGAAATAAAATCATTCAACGACAAGGAAGCATGCTCTGCGTACATAAAGTCTAACGGGATTAGATATCCGTATTACTGTGAAGCTTACCCATTCTCGTTCACATTACAGGGAGGGGGTGGGGCGAAGGTCATGTCCGTCAACGTTATGGAACGAGATGTCAAAATGGAGGCATTCCATGCTTTTATTAGAAGTTCGGGTTTGAAAGGGGGCGATTCTTTTGTTGTTATTGTTTAACATTGGATTAAAACACCCGCAGTTCGATTTCTTTAAAATTTATTTTCCAGCTCTGCACGTATTGTAAGCACCTGTACACACATTTTATAAACTGACTTTGTATCTCCGCACCACCAGCCATTGTTGTCATCGTTCATACGACAAACACCTCAGTTGTTGAAAATACATTGATTGATTATAGATCTATATAATACATATTCTATAAATTGATAATGATGGTTTGCTGTTGTTGTACGTAAGCCCGTAAATTAATGTAATTCAGCCTAGATATACATGTATTTAAATATTTGTATTTGTGCATTTGAATGTTAATATTTTCTGCTCATTTATTTTGAAACTCTTTACTTTAATAGAATAATACTAATAAAAATATGCAGTAAATAACTTATTTTCGTGGAGTGAACTTTTTCAGTGTGGATGGAGAAAATAAAATTGATTTCGTCGCGATTTGATTACGAGGTTGAAGGAAAACCAAGATAGTGTACATAATGTAGTTGTAAATGATGTTTCGAGGAGGACTCAATTTTGGGTTTCTGAATACCCCAAAAACAACGAAAATTAAACCCCACATTATAATGGTGATTTCACAGTAATAAATTACTACGACCTTGCTGAATGTATTGTAAACCAACTTTTATTCGCATGCGAGGAATATTCGCGAGTTTCGAGACCTATTATAATTCGCGAATATTAATCGCCGCGAACCATTTATTTTGGTTTGTATTTGTGGAGAATGTTTCCCTAGTCGCGAAGATTGATTTCAAACTGACGAATCGCGATTAAAAGTTGACGAGAATAATAGTTGGTTTACATGTACAGTAAGTTTGAGTCTAATAAATATGATAATACAGTTTCTTAGCTTATTGGTGTCTGGGTCGACAAAATTGTCTTTATTTTGTAAAATCAACTTCGTTTGAAATTGAAAAATTGTATCGGTAAAAAAAATTGCATATATTTATGAATGACGCAACATTTACATTGATAAATAAAATAATTCAAAATGCAAAAAATATTATGAAAATTCATCCATAAATTCAGTATTATGAAAGATATGGTAAGGTATCATTGTTATATGTTTTGTTTTTGGAAATAATCTCACTCATTTTTAATCTAGCATTCTTTTCTGTCAATTAACATTACAGAATGTGATTTTAGAAATATCTTCAAAAAATAAAATTGAAGAAAACACAGACAATTTTTGTACGTCTGTGGTCTGACTTTCCTTAACAGAGGTAAAGAAGAAATGTAAGGGGCGGTAACGTATTATGCTTGAATTTAAGCACTTCAGATTTTTGTATATATAGTATCACGTAAAAAAAATTAAGATGCAGAGTATGTTACCGGCTCCTGAGTATTTTGAGACAGCAATGATTATTGTTTACTTACTGAACATTATATAGAGGATATTTAATGTTTTTTTTAGTTGAATATGGAATTTATTTCACGAAAGGGACAGGACTTTTTGATATTTTCACGAGTGCGAAGCATACTTTCAAATAAAACTGAGCAGTTATATATAATAGATACATTAGTATAAAGTAAGGGGAGGAAGGCATACGACTCCGGTCTTTGTTACTATTAGGTCTGATTTACTCTACTTTTTTCTATTAATACATTACTTTTTTACAGTACCCGTTCAATCAATCTTGCTCCAAAAAAATGATTTATTTAAAATATATATTATAAATAAAACGGATTAAGACCGCAGAGTGTAACATATCAATAGAATTTCTGTTTGAACTCGTCCTCTTACGTGTACATTTGTGGTAGGGTAAAAAGAAATACAACTCCTCTTTTCTTTTCTACATGAAAGTTCATAAGGACAGATGATACAAACTTTTTTTTCAAAATCCATGAAGATAACAACTTAAGGCATGGCTATATTAGTAAAATAAATAAGTTTAACGGAATAGTTTTTAACTTTCACAACAATGTCTTAGGAAGTGATAAAAAATTGTATAGATTTTTAATGGTGATTGCAGAAAATTAGAACTTTACAGAAAGGTGAAACTTTGAACATCATAGAAAGTTTACAATTTCTTACTATTTTGATATTTGCATCATTTACAATCAAAATACGTCCAACAATACCAATCCAGGCATTCGCTTTTTTTTTTTTCATTTGTCCTTAAATTTTTACCAAAAAGAAAAAAAAGTCCGAATATTGCTCAAGTCAACATGGTTGTGTCAATAACGTAAGAGCCTCACTATGTACACAATACTTCAACTTTTTAAATCAAATATACCACCTAAGACATTTTCTAATAAGGACATTTGGAGAAACATTTTGTACAGGTGTTCATGTTCAGTTTTTTTTTTCTTATTTTCTGTGGTACATTGCCATATAGTGAAAAAAATATCCTTATATCTCTATTGAAAACCCATTTTTTATTGTTTTTCACAGTATGCAAATTATTCGTATGAATTTCAAATAACCCTGGATCCTAATTTTGTTATATAAATCTGAGGCACCCCCTATTTTATAGGTGTTCATTTTTCCGTTGTGGCGATATGTACCCCCATTTAGTCCTCGTAAACATTAAATGATAAGAAGCTTATGTATGTAGTATACTAATATCAACCGGGTTTAACGGAATCGATCCACTCTGAATTTAACCAACGAGTCTATGAATCGTTAAAACTTGACATATGTCGTTAAATATCACTGGCAATATGCACACATGCATGGTTTTGGATATCTGTACTAGATAATTATCGATTGCAGGAGCGGTCGATATATTAGATTCAGTCAAGAACATCGAAGATATTGATTTTAATCACAATTAATCAGCTACACAGAAGGCATTGAATGGCACAAGCGCGTTTTTTTTTAGCTTATCCGTATTTAAGTTTTTCATTTTTTGCTTGTTTGTTTATTTATTCCTTAAGCCATATGGCTTATCAGATTACATACTCATAATTACAAAATACAAAATGTACATACATGAAATATTTACATACACTTGTTTTTATGGAACGCCATAGCTGCCTGAAGGTCATTTTCATATTATATGAGGTGGAATAACCTTTATGTGAAGTGGTGAAGTCATTATATATAGTGGTAAAATCATTATATTCAATGAAAACTTTATTATATGCAGTGGTTTTATCATTATATACAGTGATAAAATCATTATATTCATTGAAAACTTTATTATATGCAGTGGTTTTATCATTATATACAGTGATAAAATCATTATTTTCATTGATAACTTTATTATATGCAGTGGTTTTATCATTATATTCAGTGGCAATGTCATTATATGTAGTGGTTAAATAATGTAATGAAGTGATAATATCGATACATTATGTTGTAAAATCATTATATGCAGTGGTTCTTCCATTTTATACATTACTGATATCTTTCTGTGATGTGATGAATTCAATATATACAGTACAAACATAATTTGTGTGATAAAGCAATCATTACATTGTATGAAACCCGCTGCATGTGGAGTGCCAAGTTAATTTCATTCAGTGCGACACCTTTACATGAAGTGAAAAATCTATTATGTGCAGTACTAACATCATTATATTATATAGTAAAATTATTATATATATTCCTTAAATCATGCTTTGCAGTAGTAACATCTTTATATGAGGTGGTTAATTAATTATATGATGTTGTTAATTTGTTATATGACGTGCTCAAATCTTTATATGCATTAGATGTTTCATGTTATGCAGTGGTAACTTCTTTATCATCATCTAAACTGGTCCTTTTATTTAAAAAAAATGCGCGGAGTTCCAGTTTAAAGAGTGTTTGAAAATAGGAAACCCGGGCCGTGGCAAATTAAAAGCCGGGACTATTCGAGATTTTTCTAATTTCTGATTCTGTTATACAGCTTTCTGATTTTATCATCTGTGCTGAAATTTTAAGACTCATTTTTATAGGTTAATGTGTATTCGCTGTAAAAATTGCATTTAATTTTAAAATACTTAGTAATTTAGATTTTCTTGGTGATTGTTGATTTCCAAGTTCAGTGGTGGATCCAGGAATCTTGAAAAGGGGGGCCCGACAAGTTTTTGGTCGAGGTAGGTAGCCCACAGCCAAACCAAAAAACAATTGATTTATTAAATCTTATGTATATTTTGGACACAAGAGGGGGGGGGGGGGCGGGCCCCATAGGCCCTCTCTGAATCCGCCCGTGAGGTTGGTAAATCGAGTAGGCAATCAAGTAGACATTTTACGTGTTTTGTTTGTTTGTTTATTGTTTTTTGTTTGTTTTTTGTTTTTTGTTTTTTTTTTTGCCATATTTGACAGAAAGCTAATAAACTTTTAAATTATTCTGATGTTAAAAATTATTCATTCTTTGAAAGGCATTTTTTGAGTGAAATGACACGTTTAAGAAAAACCGGTTCTCATAGGCGTCGGAACCGGGGGGGGGGGCTATTGCCCCCCCCCTTTTTTTTTTTTACAAAGGTAGACATAATATAGGCATTGAAAATTCGGACGTAGGTCTAGCCTCCCCCCTCCCCACTTTCTACAGGCACGATTCATTGTAGTGAAAGAAGGGTAATTGGTAGTGTTTAAAAGAATTTGGTACTGAAAGATGTTCGACCAACCCCCCAACCCACCCACCCACATCCCCGAGATAGGATTTTCGGGTTTGGAGAAAGAACAATTTTCCTTTTTTTTCTTTTGCTTGTCAATTTTTTTTCAGGTTTGATTTTTTTTTTCTATTTCAATTAGCCACCCTACTATCAATTTCCTTCCGACGCCAATGGTTCATTAAAATCGGATTTGATCTCCCGGAAGTCAAACATAAAAAATCCGAAATACTTATTCATTATCTACATGCCATTTGATAAAATATAAATTAATTAAAGAATTATCACATATACATGTAATTATAGGACTATTAATGCAAAGCCTTGTGTCAAACTTTAATCACGCGTAAGTTGCTTGGTTTAAGGATATCCGATTCTCAGCCTTGAAGGATAACTCTTAATTTTATCATTTTATTCAAAAAGGCTAAAATGATTTTAAATTGGTTGTTTGTT